TCCAGGTCAAGGTTTATTATTTCGTTCTGACAACCAGACCAAGTTAACTGCGTTTTGTGATTCTGATTGGGCAGGTTGCCCTATCACTCGCCTTTCGACTACTGGGTATTGTGTATTCTTGGGCGGTTCTTTGATTTCTTGGCGGACGAAACGACAGAAAACCGTTTCGCTCTCTTCAGCAGAGGCGGAATATAGGGCCATGGCAGGTGCTTGTTGCGAGATAGTTTGGCTTCGTTTTTTGTTGAAGGATTTGAACATTCCTTTGGATGGTCCTTCCATTTTATTTTGTGATAATCAAGCAGCGTTACATATAGCTGCCAATCCTGTTTTTCATGAACGAACTCGTCACATTGAGATGGATTGTCACTTTATACGAGATAAGATTGTAGATGGCACAATAGAGACCAAGCATGTGGGTACGGCACAACAGTTGGCAGACTTGTTTACCAAACCTCTTGGGAAAGAAAAGTTTTCGGGTATGTTACGCAAGTTGGGAGTTCTTGACATCCACTCTCCAACTTGAGGGGGAGTGTTAGACAAATAAGGAATATGGTTAGAGTCCTTGTGTAATTGTATATAATATTATTCACTTGCCGTCCTACAGCCGTCAAGCTGTCCTACAGCCGTCCTACCTTGTCCTACCTACACACTAGCCGTCCTACAGCCGTCAAGTCGTCCTACAGCCGTCCTACCTTGTCCTACCTACACACTAGGACGGCTACCTTGTCCTACATACACACTTGTATCATGTATATATATCCTTGTAATCTTGTAGAGAAAGATAATGAGAAAAAAAGCATTCTCTTCCATTTGCATTCTCTTCCATTTTTTTCCACATTCACGTATCAATAACAAATATATTTTTTAGCCTACATACCTTTTTCTACAATTACTGCTAGGGTTTTCTTGTATACATGCATATGTTTAACATTGATCGACATGCATAAAGTTAGTTTTCTTCAAAGCCAACCACAAACCCCAACGGCCAAATTCAAGGACATCGAAGGTTCTGGGCATGATATTCATATATTTTCTTCAAAAATTAATTATGAGCAGTCACACCAAATGGCCCATGCCTCTTTACATTTTCCCCATTCTGAGTACATTAGATTATTAATCCAATTAAGATCCATATCGCTCGGCTTGCTAAAATGAGAACCACGCTTAATTCTCTACATTTCTCTATTTTTTTTCTGCAGTCCAATTGACTGCAATCTAGGTACCCTTTTGGTCCTCAAGATTAATTTTGTCTGAAATAACATTAGTCATGTTCTTCTAGAAATCATCGTTAAAAAAAAAAAAAAAAACTGTTAACAATCCCTTGAATTTTGTTCGGCTAATAGTCAGTCTTTCAAGTTTCAATCAGTCTTCTTCTTACTTTTTTGACTTGTAAGAGGAATAATCTTAAGCTCTCTCCCACCACATGTCCATCTTCTTTGTGATTAACCCGCGCATTTGAAAAGTACAATAAAATATATGATGAACAATTAATAGCCATTTGACCAGAATGTTTGGGATTTGGTCAATTTTTAATTCCAAAGATATGGACATATTATGCATTTAAAATAACAAATTTTCTGAAAAATATCATATTGTCAATATATCGTTAATAAGTAGTTGCTAATATTGATAGATGATATACTCATAACAAAACATACGTAAACATTTTTATTGATACAAAATCAGTCGTATTAGTCAAAGACATGTCATGTCAAATCAATCATAATTTGTACCAAGTCCATTATGTCGGCAAATATAACTCCAATTTGCATGCCAAGTATCCCCAAGTTAAAGTTTGCTGATTTATATTTATGTTGTTTGGACAAGTTCTACAATGACAGAGACTGCCTAATGCTACAATCAAAGTCTTTGAATAAATCTTGAACTTTTTGTCCTTGCGCAAGGCTCTTCTGCAGAAAAAATTTCCCCATTCTGAGTACATTAGATTATTAAACCAATTAAGATCCATATCGCTCGGCTTGCTAAAATGAGAACCACTTGCATGGTCACAAAGATCGCGTGGAATGAGTTTTTCTTATATGTCCCCTTGAATTTTCTTTGGCTAATTGTCAGCCTTTCAAGTTTCTGTCTTCTTCTTATATGTCCCCTTGTACGAGGAATAATCTTAAGCTCTCTCCCTAGTTTGTACGAGGAATAATCTTAAGCTCTCTCCCACCACATATCCATCTTCTTTGTGATTGACCCGCGCATTTGAAAAGTACAATAAAATATATGAAGAACATTTAATAGCCATTTTGACCAGCATATTTGGGATTTGGTCAATTTTTAATTCCAAAGATATGGACTTATTATTCATTTAAAATTACAAATTTTCTGAAAAATGTCATATTGTCAATATATCGTTAATAAGTTGTTGATAATATTGATAGATGATATACTCATAACAAAACATACGTAACCATTTTTATTGATACAAAATCAATCGTATTAGTTAAAGACGTGTCATGTCAAATCAATCATAATTTGTACCAAGTCCATTCTGTCGACAAATATAACTCCAATTTGCATGCCGTATCCCCAAGTTAAAGTTTGCTGATTTATATTTATGTTGTTTGGACAAGTTCTACAATGACAGAGACTGCCTAATGCTACAATCAAAGTCTTTGAATAAATCTTGAACTTTTTGTCCTTGCCCAAGGCTCTTCTGCAGACAAAATTTCCCTTATAAATAACAAGGACAAACTCATTATTTATATATTTTTACTAATATTAGTTTCAAAAAAGCAGTTCTTGGTAGCGAGCTTTTGTCAGTGGAATTAAGTTGTAATGGCTGAACTCGCTAAAGAGCGTTCCCTGGAGGAAACACCGACATGGGCTGTTGCTGTGGTCTGTTTTGTGTTGCTTGCAGTTTCGATCGTCATTGAACGAATGATCCACCTCATAGGAAAGGTAATTAATCCATATTCTTAATTAATTAACTAACTAATTACGATTATCTCTGGATGATCTCAAATATACAGATCATGCATGCAAATGCAACCAAATCCCATGTAGTAAGGGCGATCCCCTGCCTTTGAATCACGGAACAAGTAAACTAATGTTTAAAAATAGTAGAATTTCACTTTCGCCGTTTCCTGCTTCCACTTAAACTACACCTCTCAAGTCACTTCACAATGTTCCGAACTGGGACTAATTTGCAACTGAGATTGTTGTTCTTACATCACTTTCAGTGGCTAGCAAGGAAACACAAGAGAGCTCTAGTTGAAGCGGTTGAGAAGATTAAATCTGGTATATAACCATCTAACTTGGTCATTTATTTCCCTTTTTATTTTTTGGGGATTATAAAATGTTGTGTTTGTTCCTAGCCTAACCATTTTCTTTGTTGTCTTTGAATTCTTTGAAGAGCTTATGCTGCTGGGATTTTTATCCTTGCTCCTAACTGTGCTGCAAGGAACAATCTCTGATATATGCATATCACAAAGTGTTGGAGCCACTTGGCATCCCTGCAAATATAATAAGTCATCAAAATCTGGAAGTAATGGTAGGAAACTTCTTGAGTTCTTCAATCACAGGCGCAGATTAGCAGTAAAAGGAAATGATTACTGCACAGAGAAGGTAAAAACTAAGCGAGGGATAGTTAGTTATTATCATCTTTTTACCATGTGTATGTGAGTTGGGTATAATTGACAGTGAACTTTTTTTGCAGGGAAAAGTAGCCTTTGTGTCTGCATATGATGTTTTTCAGGTTGTATAATGTCATTTGATTCTACTGTTTTTGGCTTGCCTACCATGGATCATTCCACTTACTAAGATGCTTGATTCATATGATGTTTAAATTTGTAATATGCACTTTGTTCTCAGATTCCTTTCTGTCCCTTCAGGTTGTATAATGTCATTTGATTCACAACTATTGCCAATGCTTTATTTTTAATGTTTATAAGAATCCTTTTGCATGCATATCAATTATCATCAAAAGGTTCGTAATTTTCACAATTGTCATCTTTTTCATTCTAATTCCAACTAGGTGATTTCTATGGTTGCACACAGCCTCTAATAAAATGCTTGATATTTTCTTCTTATTAATTAAGTCCGAACTTATTTTGTTGAGTCCGAGATTGTAACTAAGATATTAAATTGATTTGTTATTAGGGGAAAGAAGTGAGTTTAGTCTCATAATAGGTGAGCAATATTGTGTTTCAAATTTACTTTTGGTGAGAATCGAATCTAAGACTTCTCACTTACAAATAATGAAGAATATCACTAGATCGTAGTATTAAGTGACACACAGTAAAATAAGTTGAGTGGGTAATAAATTCATCAAATTAAGCACAACATCTTCTATAAGTTTAAACTCTCGCATTAGTAGGACATAGCAGTAAATCACTTTTTGATTATAATGATGCAACATATATTAAAATTTTAAATTATTTTTACAGAACATATTATGTGACGGTTATTGGTTGAATATATATATATTTTTAAATCATTAAAATAGCACAACCATTAACCCCCTCATAATCTCTTAAAAATTATTTAGAGGTTTGGTCTTTATAAATTTATAATTAAAAAAAAAAATTTGTTAGATTAAACTATAATATTATGGGTTGTGATTATAATCTTGTCACACCAACAGCTAAAGTCGCCCCTCCATTAATGTCGCATTAAAGAGGAACGAAATAAACAGAAACACAGCCTCATCGCCACCACCGCTTTCCAGAAACCGTTAAATCGGATATTGATTAGCAACCGTCGATCAGGGAGGCGATTGATCGTCGTCAGCCATGGAGGTCCGATCCAACCCGACGGCCGACAACTCGTCGGCCACGCAGCAGCAGCGTCAGCGCCGTACACCCACTTCTAGTCAGAAAAAGCCTCCTGCTTCTTCCATCCCCGTCGACACCACCTCCGTTTCTCAAAGGTCAGTCCTTTTTTTCCTTTAGTTTTCTGTTTGGAGCCCGAGAAAATTCTCTTTCTATTTTTCGGTCCCGAGAAAATTGAAGTCCTCACTAAAGATGGGTTTTGTTTCAATTGTGCTGTAGGCTTCAGAAGGAGTTGATGTCTCTCATGGTACTCTCTCCCTCTTGATTCTTTGCTTTTGAATTTTCCTCAAATTTGTGTACTTTTTTTTATTTCTTACTGTCTTTGTTGATTTTTGTTGTAATCTTGAATTGGGTTTGATGTGGATTTAAATTTAGATTCATAAGCGAAAAAAGAAAAGAAAGGAAGTTTAACGAAAAGCTTCCGGTGTTTATTTTAAAGAAAAATTACATTTTTAATACTAAAAATTTAATCCTGATATTATTTATTTTACCCTTTATTTTGTCTTTATTTTTATCCTTATCGGTAAAATTCAAAGTTTTAAAGTTCTTTTCATTAGTTTTCCTAAAAAAATAAAGCATAATTAAGAAGTAAAAGGGGGACTATTGATTCTTGGTAATCATGGGAGGATGGGGATGTATGATACAGAGGTTGGGTTGGGCAGGTGTGTGTGAGTCTGTGGACTGCAAAGCTTCAATTTATGACTGCATGTGTGGTGATTCGGGAAGTCTCCGCCGTTATCATACTTGTAGGCATATATTGTTGTGTTAATAAAATTTTCTCAGTTGAATAATATCGTCTTGAAGTTTAAGGTCTAATAGTAGTCTATTTGAGTTTGACACTGAAGTTAGTCTTTACTAGACAGATTTTAAGGATGAATAAGTGACCGCATTTCTTGTTATGAGACTGGTAACTGTTGTATTACTGACCTTTGTTCGTCCAACGTCCGCTGGTTTCAGATGAGTGGAGGAGATCTTGGAGTATCGGCTTTTCCTGAAGGTGAGAGCATTTTTACATGGGTTGGCACAATCGAAGGTGGAAAAGGAACCATGTATGAGGGTTTTTCCTACAAGCTTTCTTTGCGTTTCCTTTCAAGCCACCGCAGGTCAAGTTTGAGACAATGTGCTTCCATCCAAATGTTGATCAGTTTGGCAACATATGTCTTGATATCTTGCAGGTATCTATCATTACATTTACGAAATAAACTGGTATCAAGCTTTTGAGATACTAAACTTCAAGTACGAACTGTCCATGACTGTAATATGTAGAAGTTAAATTGACCATTTGATTGTCATTGTTTCTTGTACCAAGGAGTTAGTACATTAGGATTCTTATGGAAAATTAGTATCTGTTGGATATATCTAAATGCTCTCCTAGTTGTGTAGAAGAGAGTATATAAATTAGTATCAGTTGGATAATTCCAATGCTTTTTCCATCCAGGGTGTTGCCCACATGTAATGCCCTAACTCAGAAGTGCTGCTTAGATGGCAGTATGCCAATGCCCCTTACCCAGGGGTGTTGCGGTGCCCACATGAATGTGCCCTTATCGCAAGGGCGCTGCTAACTTGACAACAGCCATAACAACTCTCATGGCTGCCATGACCATTTTCATGCAGATTAATAAAACAAAAAGTTATATCAGGATTTATGGGTAATTTGAGAACATTGATGCAAGGGTTGCGTAATACAAGTTTTATTTATTATCACGGGGGTGGTGATAAAAAGCGGGTAGAGCAATCAATTTGATGGGTGGCGGAAGTGTCAGTCTGAGGCTGTTGTTGGATTGAGTTTCCTTTCTTTCATTTTCGTGTAATCTCAAAAAGCTTATGTTATACGTGGCACAGGACAAGTGGTCTTCAGCTTACGATTGCAGGACTATTCTACTCTCCATTTAAAGTTTGCTGATTTATATTTATGTTGTTTGGACAAGTTCTACGATGACAGAGACTGCCTAATGCTACAATCAAAGTCTTTGAATAAATCTTGAACTTTTTGTCCTTGCCCAAGGCTCTTCTGCAGACAAAATTTCCCTTATAAATAACAAAGACAAACTCATTATTTATATATTTTTGCTAATATTAGTTTCAAAAAAGCAGTTCTTGGTAGCGAGCTTTTGTCAGTGGAATTAAGTTGTAATGGCTAAAGAGCGTTCCTTGGAGGAAACACCGACATGGGCTGTTGCTGTGGTCTGTTTTGTGTTGCTTGCAGTTTCGATCGTCATTGAACGAATGATCCACCTCATAGGAAAGGTAATTAATCCATATTCTTAATTAATTAACTAACTAATTACGATTCTCTCTGGATGATCTCAAATATACAGATCATGCATGCAAATGCAACCAAATCCCATGTAGTAAGGGCGATCCCCTGCCTTTGAATCACGGAACAAGTAAACTAACGTTTAAAAATAGTAGAATTTCACTTTCGCCGTTTCCTGCTTCCACTTAAACTACACCTCTCAAGTCACTTCACAATGTTCCGAACTGGGAATAATTTGCAACTGAGATTGTTGTTCTTACATCACTTTCAGTGGCTAGCAAGGAAACACAAGAGAGCTCTAGTTGAAGCGCTTGAGAAGATTAAATCTGGTATATAACCATCTAACTTGGTCATTTATTTCCCTTTTTATTTTTTGAGGATTATAAAATGTTGTGTTTGTTCCTAGCCTAACCATTTTCTTTGTTGTCTTTGACTTCTTTGAAGAGCTTATGCTGCTGGGATTTTTATCCTTGCTCCTAACTGTGCTGCAAGGAACAATCTCTGATATATGCATATCACAAAGTGTTGGAGCCACTTGGCATCCCTGCAAATATAATAAGTCATCAAAATCTGGAAGTAATGGTAGGAAACTTCTTGAGTTCTTCAATCACAGGCGCAGATTAGCAGTAAAAGGAAATGATTACTGCACAGAGAAGGTAAAAACTAAGCGAGGGATAGTTAGTTATTATCATCTTTTTACCATGTGTATGTGAGTTGGGTATAATTGACAGTGAACTTTTTTTGCAGGGAAAAGTAGCCTTTGTGTCTGCATATGCGATTCACCAACTGCATATTTTTATCTTTGTGTTAGCAGTTTTTCATGTGCTCTACTGCATTCTTACCTTGGGATTTGGAAGATACAAGGTAAAACTAGCAAATTTTTACTGTTTTGGAATCTCCCTCTCTCACTCTCTCTCATCTCTCTCTCATCTTTTCATTGTTGTTTTGGATTTACAGATGAGAAAATGGAAGGTTTGGGAGGAGGAGACAAGATCAATTGAATACCAGTGCCATAATGGTTTGTAATTTACCAAACCCTTTTTTTTACTTCAAAGCTACGTGGGCCCTATCCCAAATTATGAATGGTTTATGTATCCAAAGATTAATTTTCCAGTTCATGTTTTCCTTTCTTAAAGAATGATTAGTTGAAACTGAGGTCGACTTTCTTATAGTGTCTTCAACAAAAATTTTAAATTTTGTTAAACTAACGAGTAAACTGTGTAAAAAAGCTTTACTACTCAGTTTAGTTTTTCTTCTTTAATTACTTTCTATGTTAATGAACTTTGAATATTTTATTAACAATTTAAACTCAAACTCACTTATTTTTTAGAGCAACCTTCTCTCTTTTTTTTTTTTTTTTTTTTTTTTTTTTTTTTTTTTCCTCCTTGCTCAAGAGTCCACCCTTAAATTTTATTATTTAGCAAGTGAACAGTTGCACTTTAAATTCAAAGAGTGACCGTTCATTTTGCTATAATAAACACGCTTACAACATATCTTGGAGAAGAATTTTTTGAGTTTGGCTCTTTAAAATAAAGTTTTGGTTGTTTTACAACATTTCTTGGAGATGCTCATTTTTCTAAAATTCTTCTGTTCACTATTATTTTCTTTTACCCAATTATTTCCACTGCAGATCCAGAAAGGTTTAGGTTTACAAGGGATACATCATTTGGGCGAAGACATTTGAACTTCTGGAGCAAGTCACCAGTCTCCATTTGGATTGTAAGTAACATGTCACTTGTCAATGGACTAGTACCATGAAATTCAAATAATGCCTGGAATATTAGGGCAGCAGGACATTGGATTGGGAATGATTTAAGGAGTTCTAATTGTTTCTCCTTTTTCTTCCTCAGGCCTCTTTCTTCAGGCAATTTTTCCACTCAGTTACTAAGGTTGATTACTTAACTTTGAGGCATGGATTTATCACGGTGAGTGCATCATTTGCCCAAGTTTTTTGCATCAGAGATCGATGCCGGTTGTAAAGGGACTCAATTTCTATATATGCTTTGTGATTTCAGGCACATTTGGCACCAGGAAGCGAGTCAACGTTTGATTTTCGGAAGTACATAACCAGATCACTTGAAGAGGATTTCAAAGTTATTGTGGAGATCAGGTTGGTGTTCTTTATTTAGGTATCTAATTAAACTCATTAGGTTGTTTGGTTAAGTATTGTCCTACGAAATTAACTTTTACTTTCATTTATTAATGCAGTCCAGTTATATGGTTCTCTGCAGTGTTGTTCATGCTGTCCAACACATACGGTAAGTGAGATATTCTTTCATAATTGATTCCGAAAATGCGATGAACCTTAATTTACTGACGAAGAAATGTTTTCCTCTTTGGACAGGATGGCATTCTTATCTTTGGCTACCAATCATCTCTTTAACTGTAAGTTCCACCCAAAATGCATCATCGAAGTTTTATGCATGCTAGATATATTTAGGCCTCGTCTGGTGGTTAGTGCGTTATCCAATCTAATCCTAGCCTAGACACCGAGCGAGGCCTTAAGATCGTGAGCAAAACAGAAGATCGTTAAGGTAATTGTAAACATTGCAGATAGTCCTACTGGTTGGAACCAAATTGCTAGTGATTATAACAAAGATGGGGCTGAGGATTCAGGAGAGAGGGGATGTGGTGAAGGGTGCACCTCTTGTTCAACCCGGCGATCACCTCTTCTGGTTCGGAAGCCCCCGTCTCATGCTCTTTCTCATCCACTTTGTTCTCTTTCAGGTACATCAAAACACATCGAAATTTCATGTGTATTATAACTTCAATTCACTGATATTATATGCTCACATGCTTCTTTTCTGTGGTCCTTCCCTCTTCATTGCAGAATGCATTTCAACTGGCCTTCTTTGCATGGAGTACAGTAAGCACATTTCCTCTCTAATTGTCATTTTAGTTAAAGATCCATTTTTTAGAATATTAGAAAGAACACTCCGGCAGCTATAGGTTTTATACAAAAACACTTCACGAGCTCAATTGGAGGAAAAACCCCCTCGTCTCTCATATCCTATCATTTGTTTTTTTTTCCTCCTTCAGTATCAGTTTGGGATAAAATCTTGCTTCCACCAGCGCACTGAAGACATTGTCATCAGACTCTCAATCGGGTGAGCAGTTAGCTTAATTTACACACTAATCATTACCTATGTCTCGCCCCCAAAATCCTGAGCATGTGACTGCAGTACGAACTTTGTTAATCTGGATGTACGTGACACTGTCACGTGTGTTCGGTGTTTTGGGGTGTGAATAAATGATATTTGATTCTTTTCATTCAAGAGGAAATCCTGCCAACTTATAGTTACAAGGATGTCTAAATATGGTTCCTACAATCAAGCTAAATCATTCACAAATAAGGAAAGGAATTATTTACAATATAAACAAAGTCAACATTCCATTCTAAGGGCTGGTTTGGTATTGTTGTGCTTTGAAAAAAGCTAATTCTACTGTGCTGTGAGAATAAGCAGCTGCGAAATAAAGCAGCTGAGTGTTTGGTAAACTTTTTTGTAAAAGTGTTTTTGAAAAAAAAAAACAGTATTATTGTGTTTGGTAAACTTTTATGTAAAACAGATGTGAAAAAAAGCCAGTTTTTCAAAGCTGGGATTTGCAGCTTCTTGTTTTTGGCTTTTTTTCACCCAAAACTGTGAAAAAAAGCTGAAGCTGAATGTTTACCAAACACAAAAACAGCTTCCAGCTTTTTTTGATACCAGCTTTTTTCAGAATCACCTCAGTACCAAACCAGGCATAAGCTCGATCTTCTTTAACACTCCCCCTCAAGTTGGAGTGTATGTTTATGACACCCAACTTGCTAAGTAGCACTTCAAACTGTGTCGAGCTTAATGGCTTGGTGAACAAATTTGCCGGCTGATTTGTGGTTCGAATGTGAGCTGTCTGAATCATCCCTTCTTGTATTTTCTCTCGAACCAGATGGCAGTCTATCTCTATGTGTTTGGTTCTTTCATGAAACCCCAGATTCGATGCTATGTGTATAGCCGCTTGATTGTCACAAAACAAGGCTACTGGCTGCGTGTGATCAATTCCCAAATCCTTCAAAATGTTCTTCAACCATGTAACTTCGCAGCAAGTGGAAGCCATGGAACGATACTCAGCCTCCGCACTCGAACGTGATACCGTTGTTTGTTTCTTAGTCTTCCAAGAGACCGGTGCTTGCCCAAGTAAGATGCAGTATCCCGTGATTGATCTTCTTGTGTCTTTACAACGTGCCCAATCGGCATCACAGAATGCCTGCAATTGGAGTGACCCTGTAGATGGCAGTAGGATGCCTTGACTCGGTGTTCGCTTAATGTACTTAAGCACTTTGTGGGCTGCCTCTAGATGTGGTTGTCGTGGCTTGTCCATGAACTGGCTCAGTATATGTACATCATAAGTCAGGTCTGGCCTAGTTGTGGTCAAATATATTAATCTCCCAACCATTTTTTTGTATGCGGAAGCATTATCTAACAGCTTTCCATCGAGCTGTGTAAGGGACAAATTCTGTTCCACAGGGAATCGAGAAGGTTTGACGCCCAAAAAGCCTACATCATCCAAGATTTCCAAGGCATACTTACGTTGCGACAAACTAATTCCATGTCGTGACCTGGCAACTTCGATGCCGAGGAAATATTTCAACTGCCCTAAATCCTTGAGTTTGAATCAGTTAGCCAAGAATAACTTTGTGTTCTCTATATCCTCCAAATTGTTTCCCGCCAGTATGACATCATCAACATATACAAGCAACACTAGGAAGTTGCCTTGACGATGTCGGACGAAGAGAGAATAGTCAGATCTTGACTGTTGGAATCCCGTGGCTTTGAGGGCAGTGGACAGCTTGATAAACCACTGCCTAGATGCCTGTTTTAATCCATACAATGACTTGTGCAATTGACAGACCCGATGCTCCCCATTTCGTCCGAAACCAAGAGGCAAGGACATGAAGACCTCCTCATCAAGGTTGCCGTTCAGGAAAGCATTGTTCACATCCAATTGGTGGAGATGCCAGCCACACAGAGAGGCCACACTAAGAAGGATACGGACTGTCACCATTTTTGCAACCGGGGCAAAGGTTTCCCGGTAATCGACGCCTTCGACCTGACTATAGCCCTTGGCCACTAAGCGGGCTTTGTAGCGTTCAACCGTTCCATTAGCCTTCAATTTCACATTATACACCCACTTACAATCGATCGGCTGTTTATGAGGGGGTAACGGCACCAAGCTCCAAGTCCCATTAGCTTGCAAGGCAGCAATCTCAGTTTGCATGGCGGCACGCCATTGTGGTATTTGGACTACCTGAGAGAAACTCGTAGGTTCTTTAATAAGTGTAAGTTTAGCAAGATACGTTTTGTGAGAGTGAGAAAGGTGAGCATAAGATAAGAATTGAGAGAGCGGGTGAGCCGTACCTAAACGAGTGACCAGGTTCAAAGAAGATGATGGAGCGGGCCGAGAAGGGACGCTAGTCTCGATTTGAAAGTCCTGCAAATAGGCAGGCGGTCGGGTGGAGCGACCGCTGCGGCGCGGAGCTGGGCTGGTAGGCGTAGGCAACGGGGGTGGGGAAAGAAGAGGGGTTGGTGGAGAGTGAGAGGAGATCGGGGAAGAAGAGGGTAGATCGGTGATGGACAGGGGTGTGGGTTTTGCAGTGTGTGGGTTAAGTGAAGCGGGGTCAGGTGAGCTGGGGTTTGGGGTTGGCCCAGCAAGGGGTGTACACAGATGGGCGGCAGAAAAGGAGTCCAAATCAAAGGATAAAAATGGGTCAGGGTGAGGGGAAGAAATGTTGGGAATGTGGGGATGTGGTGACGCAGTGGAATGGTGAGGAAGGAGAAAAGGGAACGTATCCTCAAAGAAGCTCACATCACGGGAAACGAGCACCTTTTGTTGACTAAGATCAAAAACTCGATAGCCTTTTTGACCATAAGGATAGCCCAAAAAAATACACTGAGATGCTCGTGGATCAAATTTTCAACAAGGTTGGGCATGGGTAGAAGTAAAACATAAACAACAAAAAACACGCAAATGGGAATAACTGGGAGATTTGTGAAACAATTTTTCATACGGGGTTTTGCCATCAAGAAGAGGAGTAGGTGTACGATTGATGAGATATGCGGATATGAGAATTGCATCCCCCCAAAAATGAGTTGGAAGCCCGGCCTAAATGAGCAAGGCACGAGCCATATTTAACAAGTGTCTATGTTTTCTTTCAGCAACCCCATTTTGCTGTGGTGTGTTGATACAACTAGTTTGATGCATGATACCTTTATCTGCATAGAAACTGTCAATTTTGAATTCAGGGCCATTATCATTACGAATGATTTTAATTTTGGAATCAAATTGGGTGGCAACCATATTGATGAAATTAACTATAAGAGACCGAGCATCAGACTTGTGTTTCATAAGGTAAATCCAAGTGCATCTAGTGTAATCATCAACAATGGTAAGAAAATACTTTGCACCCGAAGTGGAAGCAATTTTATAACCACCCCATATGTCTATATGAATTAAATCAAAACTAGAATGAGTAGTAATTGAACTGGAAGAAAAAGGAAGTTTGGTTTGTTTGGCCAAGGGGCAAATTGCACACTTGTCGATATCATAAGATGCATGTTTAAATTTAGCACAAGAAAATAATGGAAGAACTTTGGTAGAAGGGTGGCCAAGACGTTGGTGCCAAAGGATGGGATGGGTTTGGTGTGCCTGATTGCATGTTCCTTTCTTGGTAAGATCGAGATAGTAAAGGCCCTCCCGTTCAATTCCCGTCCCAATCATCTTCCCCGAGCGTAGGTTCTGTATGATACAAAATTGGTTCAGAAAAATGGTAATACAAGATGAATTGGCTAACTTGCTAATTGAAATTAAATTCAACTTGAAGTATGGGACACATAAAACGTTTTCAAGAATCAAATTGGGGAACAAGACAACTTTGCCAATTTGAGTCACTTATGCTACGGATCCATTCGGCAATTCGACTGTGTGATTAGTGACGGGCCTCGAGGTGGAGAACAGGTTGGGATCATAAATCATATGATCCGTGCAGCCACTGTCTAAAATCCAATTGCTTTGTTTGCCATGAGAGTTGAGTGAAAAAGCTTTACCTGAGAGTTCTTCATGGGTTGCGGGATTACTAACATAATTGGCAGATGAGGACTTGTTTTGCAGCACACTCAAGATTTGTTTTGCACTCTTCAGCAGTAAACGGGAATTTCATCTCCTTCCTTTTTGTCAAACACGTCGCTGCTTGGTTCCCTTTCGAGATCACTGCCCCAAAGTCAGCCTCAGCCGCTGCTTTCTTCTTGCGGCAGTATTCTGCCGTGTGACCTTTCCAGCTGCAAAATGCACATTTGAGGTGTGCACGACAATTCTTGGCAGTGTGGTTTGTTTTGTTACACTTAATGCACTTCAACTCACCTTTGTTTCCTTCGGATTCATGGTTGGCATTCTTCACGGCAAATACAGCCGCATCCGGTTGTGTCGAAGCTTTTCCTGCTGTTACTTCCGATTGCTTTTCATGCCGCAGAACGAGGGAGTATGCCTTGTTCACTGTGGGTAAAGGATCTTGCAGCAAGGTGTTGCTGCGAACACTTGCATATGAGTCATTGAGGCCCATGAGGAACTTCATAGTCTTCTGCGTGTCCAAATATGCAACCACTTCCTTAACTGAGCCACAGGTGCAGATCGGGAAAGTGCATAAAGCATCACAGGCATCCCAGAGTCCTTTCAACTTCGTGAAGTAAGATCCCACAGACATACCTCCTTGCACACAATCATGAATCTCGTTCTCGACGTTGAACAGTTGAACTACGTTCACATGCGAGAATCGCTCCTGCAATTCCAGCCACATCTGCCTGGTGTTTTTGCAATTGATCACGCTGCTAGCAATGTCTTTCGACATCGACCCTAGCAACCAAGTCTGGACCAAATTATTGCAGCGATTCCACTGCTGCCATTCATTGAGATTCTTTCCACTCGGCTCTTCGATCGAACCGTCTACAAGTCTGATTTTATTCTTGACTGTTAAGGCCATTGTCATGGATTGTTTCCATGTGCTGTAATTATCTTCGACCAAAGGTTGTGGCACAAGAATAGCACCGGGTTGGTCTGAATGATGAAGATATAGTTGATGATTGGGATTATCCCACTGGGTTCCTGAGGCCGTGCCTGATGGTTTGTCTTCTGCCATGGAGGTCGGCTAAGGTTTTGTTGTGTTTGGTTTATTGCCCAGATCAATGCTCTAGTACCATGTGAATAAATGATATTTGATTCTTATCATTCAAGAGGAAATCCTGCCAACTTATAGTTACAAAGATGTCTAAATATGGTTCCTACAATCAAGCTAAATCATTCACAAATGAGGAAAGGAATTATTTACAATATAAACAAAGTCAACATTCCATTCTAAGCTCGATCTTCTTTAACATGGGGCGTGACAAACTTACTCAACGAGCACAAGTGTTTTGCTAATGCACACAATGCTAAATTGTTGATCTCCACAGGGTCATGGTACAAGTTTTATGCAGTTATGTGACTCTGCCTCTCTATGCTCTAGTAACACAGGTAAAAATGATCTCGCTTCGGTTTGATTTTTCAGGGGGGAACTGGGGTAATTAAGCCTTGATTTAACGTCGATTTACTTTGTTTTGTTTGATCAAACAGATGGGTTCGACCATGAAACCTACCATTTTCAATGAGGAAGTGGCAGCAGCTGTGGAAAATTGGCACCACAAAGCCAAAAAGAACGCGAAACACAACCACCATTCACCGTCAACCATCCCATTTTCAACCATGCCACCAACTCCCACGCAAGGCATGTCCCCAGTTCATCTGCTGCACAACCACAACTACCGCAGCAATGACGATGGATTTATCACACCTCCGAGGGGATCAAACCTTGAGATGGATCACTGGGGCACTGAAGGGTCCTCACATTCACCAAACAACAATGTTGGACCTTGCGATGGGGATGAGATTATGCAAATCAACGACATTGGGGATCTGGATCAAGAGCCTGGCTCAGCAGAACTGGCTCGCGCGCCGCGTCGTACTCGGTCACAGCATGAAATTGAGATTATTTCATCTAATTTTTCATTTGGGAAAGGCAGCTGAACAAGTTGATGGTGTTGGATCATAGGACTTGTTGCTTCCTCCTCTCTCTCTCTCTCTCTCTCTCTCTCTCTCTCCCCGTTTTTGGTGCATTATTTGGTTGAGCATTTGCAGCAATAGTGGCTAGGAATAGGTTCCACTAGAAAAAATGCCCGCACGATGCTGCGGGATTTGAATGCATCACCTTGAACTGTATTGTACAATTAACAGGACGAAACGGAACGCTTTGGTTCCCTAATAAATAGAAGAAATAGAAGTAACATATAGTTTACAAAAATGTTGCCCTTGTAGTTAAGGTGATAAAATATATATCTTCTAGGTTAGCTACATGTTGTAGTTGACAAAAAACATAAAAACTGTTTTGTTCTTATTCTAGCATCTAAGTTTCCAAGCACGAATGTGCAAAGCAAAAAATAGGCAGTTGTTGAAGCAAAAATGTTGATAGCCAAAAACATGTAGAACTGCCTGCAGCAGTCGATTACGGAGATTGCATTGTTCACTTTTTTTGAGAGTGGATATCTTTCGCACTATAGCAAAAAATATAAATCATAGTTTAAGAAACGCGACCATAATGTTTTTCATGTAGACATGTATATGAAAGAAACGAAAAAGAACAAAATCACCCATATATATAATACTTTAAGTTTAAAGGCATCCCAATTCGCTGAATTTACATACAAATGGGACAAACAATAAAACATACCATATTAATCATCCTTAATAGTATAAATAATTCAACAACGTGAAAAATATAGGTCATGTATAATAGAACAATCAAAGTTCTCTATTTTGATCAGAAAAATAATGGTCAAAATTTCAAAGAGACAGAGCCTTTTATGGTAAATTTTATATCTAGAAACTCAAAACCAAACATGTTCAATTAGCAAGAAACTCTCTACATGATACTCGAATAAAAAACGATGCATTTAGTTATATGTACCATAAATAGAAACGATGGCATCCAAATTCCATTAGTTTAATATTTAGAAACACTTAGTCATTAAGTATATATACTTGCTAAAACTCATTCAGACAATATCAATTTATGAATTACACGTGTAGTCAAATTGATTATGCGTCCTTACCCTTTCCTTACCCATACCTTCCTTACCCCTTCGCTTTAACCCTTGCATAAAATCCTCCCTTCTCTCGCTCACTTTTGTTCTATCTCTCTGTATGTGTAAATCGCAAAAAACAAACCTTGAACTAAAACCCTCAAATCCCGTCTAAATTCTTGCACAATTTGGTCGGAGATTCTTTAGTTCTCTCTGCAATTCCTAAACCAAATGTTGTAAATTTTATCTAAAAGAGACCCATCTTTCTACAAATGGCACAAAGAAAATGGTTTCGAGAAATTATGCTAAAGGGGAGACTAATCAGATGATTATGCTTAGAACTATAATGTTGTTTAAATTTAAAAAAAGTGTTAACTGATTGAAAAACCAAACCATTTAAAGAACTAGTAGAGATCACATTAACAACATTGTAACAAAACTAAGAAGATCTAAAAAAGCATGTATTCAAAAGTAAATTAGTTCGATCATGCATAAAGCAAGGCAGTGACGGAAAGTTAGCAGCTAAGGTAATCCACCATATTAAGGCATCATACAGATTATTATACAGTGTTTGTCAGCATGGGAACATGTGTCAGAAAAAGAAAAGGAAAAATATATAGGGTAAATTTAAAGGCTATATGAAAAGTTTAATATGGTTGTCTGTGAAACTCAGTGATAAAATTTCAGTCATGCTTTCCAAGAAGAAAAGAAAGTGAATAACTGAAACCACTGATAATTTGAAGCAACAGAGCATATATTATTAAGATTGAAAACGCATTCCAGAAAGCATGGGGAAACTGTAAAAGTAACCAAAACTATGATGGTGGAATAGATTAAATCCATGAAAGTGCAACAAAGAAAGGGTAAATCTGAGAAGGGTTTAACTGACGACCAGTCTTTTATACTTCATAATGTTATGAATTATCACCCGGATAAAGCTGTTAAAATGTGTTTTGGAATCGGTCATCTCACAACATGTTTATTTACGTTGTTCTTGTTTAACTGTAAACAACTGCGTTTTATTATTATGTTTCGGTTTAGGTTTGATGGCATGAATATTTGTTACATCACACTAACTTAAGACGTAACAATCACACATTGTACTGTTATTGCAGTCATATATATTCAACTTCTACTGTTATTGTGGTCATATATATATATATAAATATATATATGAAAAGGACGCTATAATTAGATAGCTAAATCTAATCCTAATGTGAAAAAAAAAAAAATGTAAGAACTGTTGTGAAACCAGTGTTAATTAATATACCTCAAAAGTCAAAGGGCCAAGAGCTCCAGCGATCGATCCAACCTTTGGAAAATCGGAAACAAAGCAAATCGATTAGCACTAACTCACAGAACAACAATGAAAATAATAGCTCAAAGACAGTAGCGAAATTCTATTAGCAGTAAACACACACTGTTGAAACGGGGATTGTAGCAAAGCTACACCCATTAGTAATATAATATAGGCATTAGTTGCAGGTTCTGCAAGTATTATCTGTAGAATTTAGCAGGTTACTTATATACTTTATCTGAGATAGTATTGCAAATATCATACTGAAGAAACATATATCATCCGGTATTTCTCATGTAAAATTTTCCGATCCAAAAAAGACAATAAGGAAAATTATGCAACTCCAGAGTACAAATGTTAAGCGTGCTACTTCAACCGAAATAACTTCTAGATACAATGAGAAACACATGCTCATTCTAGAAATGGAATCTAGGTAAAACCAAAATACATAAAAACTGCAATAGTTAAACTGCAAGCTAAATTGATTAAGTGTCCAGAAGATAAACACGCCAATTTTCAAACAAAGCAAAGAAATTGAAATTGTCTCATGAAAACTAACTAAAAGTTTATGTAATGTCATTCTATTATTATCTAAGAGGCGAGATAGAATGTTAATATGCATGACACAAAAGCAATGCAATATCTACATGTTTAGGTAACACCATCATATTCATGCTTAACAACTGGAAATGCACAATCTAGTTTACAAAAGTAGGGGTTAGAGTATGAAAACCAACTAAACAGACCATGAAAATAACTAAAAGGTGGTATTTGCGAAGGTGTCTAAACTTCAATATATATGTGTTTGTGATGTAAAACTAACTTCATCAGGTGACACACCCCGACCGAAATCAAGGCGTGACGGCCAGCACACCTTAATTTCGATCAGGGTGTGTCATCAGGGTTGTAGTTGAATTGAACCAACAAACCTGTGAGCTAATTAAATATTCACACGCATTATAAGCTAACATATGTCTTGGCCAACATATTTATAAGATATGGATGGCAACCAGTAAATAGCTAGGAATTTACTTAAAGAGTCTTAGCCAGAAAAATCCCATTAAAGAATTTCAACATGTTCCCAAAACATTAAAATAGTAATGCAGCTCAAAATTTTCCCCAAACCCTAAAACCCACAGAACATATGCTCTACTCAACAAAGATAATTAAGAACAACAACTGCAGGATCAATAAGGACTTTGTGAACTGCAAGGATTAAGAGTGCAGGAAAAACATTACTACTGGTAACTTAACAGAGAGAGAGAAGAACCTGCAATTAGGTTTTCTCAAAAGCGAAATTGCAGAAAGCAACCAAGAGACACAAAATATTTAGCTAAAGAATGTTAGCCACCAAAATCTCATTAATGAATATCAAAATTTTTTTCTAAACATTAAAATGCCAAAGCAGCTCAAAAATTTCCCTAAACCCTAAAACCCACAGAACATAGCTTCTACTCAACAAAGATAACTTAAGAACAATTGCAGGATCAATAAGAACTCTGTGAACTGCAAGGATTAAGTGTGTAGGAAAAACTATAATCTAGATAAACAAAAGAAAATATGTATTAAAGAGCACCAAAAAGTCAAAAACTTTAAAGGCTGTCAAATAAATTTGTATTCAAGGGTTTGAACCCATCGATCTAAGTGCAAACATAAAAAGCACAGAACATAAAAAAATAAGTTGAGAGATAGTTTAGAACATTGCAATTGAGGCTCCTCTCAGTAGATATATATATATATATATATATTCTTTTTTTTTTAAAAAAAAGAACACATGTATACCCTGCCCCGTAAGAAACATGTTAAGCAAATACCCATCTTATCAATGGTTCAGAATCATAGTTTGACCACATATGCCAAACTATAAATCTAAACCATTGATAAGGTAAACTTTTGCAAGAATGTGTGGTCCATCTGCACTGTCTGGCAACATAACCACCTATGTTGCCAGAATGTCTAGCAATAGGGCATTACACTACATATTCAAAAGTTGAGAAACCATGGGAGAAGGAACGACTCAGAACTTGGAAGTAAAATATGAAAATCGCAACTCAAAACACAGATTAACAAATGTTATCATTTCAGATTTTCACAAACAACACAGCAGATAACGAAGAGTAAAGAAAATTAGAGAGAAATTCAAATAGAGCAAGGAAAACTAACTATGCATACTATAATCACCAATAATATTCCACAAAAGATAAATACATTTGGTGACAATCATACATTTGATTCCTACAATATTTTATGTCTTGCATAAAAATTAGAAATTAGGGAAAAAAAAAACACAACAAAGAAAAGGGTACCTAATACTTTCCCTGTATCTGCTTTTCAAAAGGCAAAATGCTTTAGATCCTAAGGACCAAGCAAATATAAAAGCGATTCAACAATTATAAAAAAAAAAAACCAACAATGCATGGAACAAAAATTAGAAATTAAACACCCATCAAAGGTTGTGAAGAATGCTAAATCCAACTAATTTGAAACATAAAGTAAGCCGAATGAAAATGGGGAGCCATCCTCATCCTCTGTGTCCCCATCCTCTTCACTCCCTCTGTCCCCTTTCTCTCCTTTCCGCACAGCGAGACCCAGCTGTCTCCGAGTGAAAATGGGGAGTCATCGTCTCTCTCCAATTTTTGTTCTTTTTGGCATCACATATTGTACTTTATACGTACACTTACATTTTTACTATAAATACATTCTTTCAACAATTCATTTCACTCACTCGCTTCTCGCTTACCAAGATATATATCCGTTATTTGATAGTTATTCTCAAAAGTTAGGATGTAAAGCAAAGGCAAGGCCAAGATTTTGATTCAGAGGAGCGCCCTCATCAAGTTTCTAGAAATCATGCCCTCATCAAGTTTCTGGAAATCATACGCACAATAGACATAGAAGAGTATTATTATTGGATTGATTGGGTGACCCATTACGTGTAGAAGGATACAAATAAGAAAATTTTAGAAAAAGGTCATTAAAACAAGAAACTAGCCAACAAAATTTGAGGGGAACGTCCCCCCTAAGCACTATATGGCTTCAGCATGATGTAAAGAGGAATGCTATTATTAGTCGCGTTTGGGCATATGTAATCATAAGTAGTTATAGATACTTCACGCTCACAAACACGACTGAACTTAATATTCTTTGGAGTTTGAACTCAATTTGATTCTACTGTTTTTGGCTTGCCTACCATAGATCATTCCACTTACTAAGATGCTTGATTCATATGATGTTTAAATTTGTAATATGCACTTTGTTCTCAGATTCCTTTCTGTCCCTTCAGGTTGTATAATGTCATTTGATTCACAACTATTGCCAATGCTTTATTTTTAATGTTTATAAGAATCCTTTTGCATGCATATCAATTATCATCAAAAGGTTCGTAATTTTCACAATTGTCATCTTTTTCATTCTAATCCCAACTAGGTGATTTCTATGGTTGCACACAGCCTCTAATAAAATGCTTGATATTTTCTTCTTATTAATTAAGTCCTAACTTATTTTGTTGAGTCCGAGATTGTAACTAAGATATTAAATTGATTTGTTATTAGGGGAAAGAAGTGAGTTTAGCCTCATAATAAGTGAGCAATATTGTGATTCAAATTTACTTTTGGTGAGAATCGAACCTAAGACTTCTCACTTACAAATAATGAGGAATATCACTAGATCGTAGTATTAAGTGGCACACAGTGAAATAAGTTGAGTGGGTGATAAATTCATCAAATTAAGCACAACATCTTTTATAAGTTTAATGTCATATCCCGGCCCGGGGCGGATCACTTCCCGGGCCCGCTCCACCACCGTAGCACGATATTGTCCGCTTTGGGCTTACCATTCCCTCACAGTTTTGTTTTTGGGAACTCACGAGCAACTTCCCAGTGGGTCACCCATCATGGGATTGCTCAAGTCCCCTTCTCGCTTAACTTCGGAGTTCCGATGGAACTCAAAGCCAATGAGCTCCCAAAAGCCCTCGTGCTAGGTAGAGATGAGAATATACATTTAAGGATCACTTTCCTGGGCGATGTGGGATGTTATAATCCATCCCCCTTAGGGGCCCGACATCCTCGTCGGCACACTTCCGGCCAGGGATTGACTCTGATACCATATTGTCACATCCCGGCCCGGGACAGATCACTTCCCGGGCCCGCTCCACTACCGTAGCACGATATTGTCCGCTTTGGGCTTACCATTCCCTCACGGTTTTGTTTTTGGGAACTCACGAGCAACTTCCCAATAGGTCACCCATCATGGGATTGCTCTAGCCCCCTTCTCGTTTAACTTCGGAGTTCCTACGGAACCCGAAGCCAGTGAGCTCCCAAAAGGCCTTGTGCTAAGTAGGGATGGGAATATACATTTAAGGATCACTCCCCTGGGCGATGTGGGATGTCACAATCCACCCCCCTTAGGGGCCCGACGTCCTCGTCGGCACACTCGCGACCAGGGTTAGGCTTGGATACCAAATTGTCACATCCGGCTGGGGGGGACCACTTCCCGGGCCCACTCCACCACCATAGCACGATATTGTCCGCTTTGGGCTTATCATTCCCTCACGGTTTTGTTTTTGGGAACTCACGAGCAACTTCCCAGCGGGTTACCCATCATGAGATTGCTCTAGCCCCCTTCTCGCTTAACTTCGGAGTTCCGATTGAACTTGAAGCCAGTAAGCTCCCAAAAGACCTCGTGCTAGATAGGGATGAGAATATACATTTAAGGATCAATCTCCTGGGCGATGTGGGATGTTACATTTAAACTCTCGCATTAGTAGGACAGAGTAGTAAATCACTTTTTAATTATAATGATGCAACATCTATTAAAATTTTAAATTATTTTTACAAAACATATTATGTCACGGTTATTGATTGAATATATATTTTTTTAAATCATTAAAATAGCACAACCATTAACCCCCACACAATCTCTTGAAAATTATTTAGAGGTTTGGTCTTTATAAATTTATAATTATATAAAAAAAATTTGTTAGATTAAACTATAATATTATGGGTTGTGATTATAATCTTGTCACACCAACATCTAAAGTCGCCCCTCCATTAATGTCGCATTAAAAAGGATAAAGAAACGAAATAAACAGAAAGACAGCCTCATCGCCACCACCGCTTTCCAGAAACCGTTAAATCGGATATTGATTAGCAACTGTCGATCGGGGAGGCGATTGATCGTCGTCGGCCATGGAGGTCCGACCCAACCCGACGGCCGACAACTCGTCGGCCACGCAGCAGCAGCGTCAGCGCCGTACACCCACTTCTAGTCAGAAAAAGCCTCCTGCTTCTTCCATCCCCGTCGACACCACCTCCGTTTCTCAAAGGTCAGTCCTTTTTTTTCTTTAGTTTTCTGTTTGGAGCCCGAGAAAATTCTCTTTCTTTTTTTCGGTCCCGAGAAAATTGAAGTCCTCACTAAAGATGGGTTTTGTTTCAATTGTGCTGTAGGCTTCAGAAGGAGTTGATGTCTCTCATGGTACTCTCTCCCTCTTGATTCTTTGCTTTTGATTTTTCCTCAAATTTGTGTACTTTTTTTTATTTCTTACTGTCTTTGTTGATTTTTGTTGTAATCTTGAATTGGGTTTGATGTGGATTTAAATTTAGATTCATAAGCGAAAAAAGAAAAGAAAAGGAAGTTTAGCAAAAAGCTTCAGGCAGATTACTTTAACGAAAAATTACATTTTTTATACTAAAAATTTAATCTTGGTACTATTTATTTTACTCTTTATTTTGTCCTTATCGGTAAAATTCAAAGTTTTTAAGTTCTTTTCATTAATTTTCCTAAAAAAATAAAGCATAATTAAGAAGTAAAAGAGGGACTATTGATTCTTGGTAATCATGGGAGGATGGGGATGTATTATACAGAGGTTGGGTTGGGCAGGTGTGTGTGAGTCTGTGGACTGCAAAGCTTCAATTTATGACTGCATGTGTGGTGATTCGGGAAGTCTCCGCCGTTATCATACTTGTAGGTATATATTGTTGTGTTAATAAAATTTTCTCAGTTGAATAATATCGTCTTGAAGTTTAAGGTCTAATAGTAGTCTATTTGAGTTTGACACTGAAGTTAGTCTGTACTAGACAGATTTTAACGATGAATAAGTGACCGCATTTCTTGTTATGAGACTGGTAACTGTTGTATTACTGACCTTTGTTCGTCCAACGTCCGCTGGTTTCAGATGAGTGGAGGAGATCTTAGAGTATCGGCTTTTCCTGAAGGTGAGAGCATTTTTACATGGGTTGGCACAATCGAAGGTGGAAAAGGAACCATGTATGAGGGTTTTTCCTACAAGCTTTCTTTGCGTTTTCCTCTGGACTATCCTTTCAAGCCACCGCAGGTCAAGTTTGAGACAATGTGCTTCCATCCAAATGTTGATCAGTTTGGCAACATATGTCTTGATATCTTGCAGGTATCTATCATTACATTTACGAAATAAACTGGTATCAAGCTTTTGAGATACTAAACTTCAAGTACGAACTGTCCATGACTGTAACATGGAGAAGTTAAATTGACCATTTGATTGTCATTGTTTCTTGTACCAAGGAGTTAGTATATTAGGATTCTTATGGAAAATTAGTATTCGGTTGGATGTATCTAAATGCTCTCCTAGTTGTGTAGAAGAGAGTATATAAATTAGTATCAGTTGGATAATTCCAATGCTTTTTCCATCCAGGGTGTTGCCCACATGTAATGCCCTAACTCAGAAGTGCTGCTTAGATGGCAGTATGCCAATGCCCCTTACCCAGGGGTGTTGCGGTGCCCACATGAATGTGCCCTTATCGCAAGGGCGCTGCTAACTTGACAACAGCCATAACAGCTCTCATGGCTGCCATGACCATTTTCATGCAGATTAATAAAACAAAAAGTTATATCAGGATTTATGGGTAATTTGAGAACATTGATGCAAGGGTTGCGTAATACAAGTTTTATTTATTATCACGGGGGTGGTGATAACAAGCGGGTAGAGCAATCAATTTGATGGGTGGCGGAAGTGTCAGTCTGAGTCTGTTGTTGGATTGAGTTTCCTTTCTTTCATTTTCGTGTAATCTCAAAAAGCTTATGTTATACGTGGCACAGGACAAGTGGTCTTCAGCTTACGATTGCAGGACTATTCTACTCTCCATTCAAAGTCTGTTGGGAGGTAAGCTTGCTCTTATATGTATTCTCTTGTAGACTTCATTCGTTCTTGCCTGACCATTTAGTTCTTACCTGCAGAACCAAACCCGGAGAGCCCCCTCAACAGCTATGCTGCTGCTCTGTGGAGTAACAAGGAAGGTTAGTTACTCTGTCATTCGTATCGAATGTTTCTAAAACTGGGATTCAAAAACTTAGAACTTCATCGTAGATGCTCATCCTGTTTCAACCGCCTTCCAATCCATGCTAATTTCAGACTTTGTACCTTACGCAAATTTACCGTGAGCTATGAATGTCGACCTGATAAACTTATGTTTCGAACTTGAACATCATGGAATATGATGCCAAGTGATGAAGTGCCTATCCTTCCCAATTTGAATTGCACAAACCTCTGATGCAACTCTTGTTCTTATGTCTTTCTTTTACAGATTACAAAAAAATGGTCCATCGACAGTACTTTGCTGGAGAATCAATCGAGAGCTGACTTGTACATATAACTCACGACGGAGGACAACATTGTCATGTGGCCCCTGATTTGTCTACAGCGCCGGGGAGGTGAAAGTTCTGCAATGAAAAGTAAAGTTTCTCAACGAATCCGGGGTGATGGAAACGCTAACCCTGGCCAACCTTGTTTATATTGCCTGTCCTCTGTGATTGCTAAATAAAGACAATAAGAAGTTGTAAATTTGGTTGAGTCAAATGAAGGTGAAACCTGTTTCTCTAATGACTGGAGGAGGCACCATTCCCACATCTTTTTAAACTTCCGAGTTTCAAATGGTTGATGGATGATATTTCTAATGCTATCCAAACTACGACCATGCATGCATGCATCGAATGTCCCCACTCACTCTCCGCCTATTAACATGAAGCATGGATACATCGTTCTAGTCGCGTATCTCATATCGGATACTTGGTTGGATACAATACATGCTAGATACGTACGGACACATGATTTTGACCTAATGGATACGGTTATCCAAGTTACCGCCAATTTGGGGTGGTGAGCAAAAAGATTTCCGTTTTTATAATAAAAATTTGAGATCAAACACAAGTTATACCAACGTATCTGTGCTAAAAGATGTATTTGTACAACATGACAAAATGGCCCCAACTGTTTCAAGGATATGGATGCCTCTTAAGAATTTCTACTCTACGTATTTTGAGCAACACCACACATTAATCATTGTGCAAAGATACCATTGTCCACAGAGAAATTCACAGCTTAAGGATCCTCGAGAATTCACAGAGAGCGGGAACAGAGAAAAACAGTAGAAAAACCTTCTCTTCAAATAACACGGAACCTCTGAAGTTGCAACGGAGATGACACATTTGGGCGGTTGATTGATAGGAACTGATACTTGAGTCGCGAAGCAATTAAACATTCTCTGCGGCATCTCTTCCAGACTCTTCTGTACCGTGCGCTGCAGCCAACCTCTCAGCTGCCAATCTTTCCTCGAGTGCTCGAGCACCTCTTTCTCTGCAAGAGACAGTTTGGTCACAAAAATGAAGATTCCTTTTCCTGATTCAAGTATTTGATTATTCGTAGTTGGTGCTGTTAAGACGTTTATTTATACTGTCGCAATGTTAGTTTCTGAATCCATTCTAGTAAACTTTTTTGATTTTCAAATATTACACGAACTACGGGTCTATATACACCCAAGTTATTAATCTCCCTAGCTATCTAGTGGCATGTGTTCCATCCTTAAGGATCGGGAGTTCAAAGATCCCTTGTTCACACCCGTGTAAACAGTAAGAAATGGTGTGATTTATGAAGGGGGGAGGTTACCCTCCACAGTTCATTCGAACAAGGAATATCTCAATTTCGTTTCAGAGATGTAATATTTAACATTCAAACGGGATGCTGTTTGAGACCAGAAACGTTACCTTCTTCTAGATGCTTCAATGGGGTCAGATCCAGGCAATGAGGAACTGCCCAGGGTATAACCTTGGGATTCATTGGAAGCTTCAGATCTTCCACAGAGCATCCGATGGAATATAGATGCAACAGGATCAATGACTGGTCTGCAACAATTAACAAGAAACACTTAAGAGCAATAGAAACTAGGAATATTGAAGTGAAAAGTTTGAAAATAATGGCAATTATTTACCTCAAAAGTTCAGGGAAGAATGTAGAAAATGCAAAATCTTCACTTGGATCACCCTTGAGTTTTGTTTCTGGTTTCCTCTGCCAGAATCTTAGATAAATCCAGCTCGTATAAGTTCCAAATATTATGAATGGAAGATATGTTGCTGACTTTTCTGTCCAGAAGCTTATGGCAATGGACAGCAATAGCGAGATAGATGGTAACCACTGCATATAATTGAAACCAGCATCAAACAGAGTTTTAGGACTATTCAATAACCTGCAGAAATTTTCATCAAAAGGTCCTTTACGAAAGTCCAAACCTTAGCTTTTATTTTCAATAAAGGCAACTCCTGGTCGGGGATGATTTGCTTGATGCCAACCAACAAACCTGAAAGGACTCCGTGGAAGCCAGAAACAGGCATATAACTAGCACAAGTGAACCAAAGAAAGTAACAATACAAAGGATGAGACAAACGAAGCGATCAAACCATGCTACCACATGTACAAACATTATTATATACGAAAAGATAGATGGACAATGGAAGATACGTGTTGATAGTTGCAGAATGATCTGTTTAAAAATTTGTGTGCTGTTAGAGTTGGATCCAAATTTACCTAGTTCATCATTCAGTTAGACTGACTCAGCTTGAAAGGAAAAGGGGGCAAGCGGGCAATAAATTGCATGTTAAATTTCTTATTACTAATAAACCAACAAGCTACAGAATGCCTTGAGGTAGAAGGAAGCAATAAAGAGGAAAATGCAGAAAGATGGAATACAAGGACAAAAAATATGAATTGCTGGTATGCAAATTTTTTTAATAAATGTTCAATTGATTTCTTAGTACTTACAGGTAAAATTCCGTCATTGTAATGTAGTACATAGCAATAGCAGTGACGAAAGTGCATATGGAAGTTAAGAAGTTAACTACAAAGATGAACTTCAAGAACTCCCTAGAACCCCACACAGGTTCAAGCAGCTTCCCAATAAAAAGAAGACCAATAGTGCTGATAAAAACCTGTTAAATAAGTATGAAACTCAGTTCTATCTAGTAATAAAAGTAGAGTGTGTCGGGTCCAGAAATTCCCTTCGATATATGACTATGGCACAGAAAAATTATTTGTGGAATCAGAAGCGCATACCCCATATACTGATTGTTCAATGTAACCGGATGTTATGAGGTTCCAGACAAAAGGAATCGTCCTACAAGACAGAAGTTTGGATTAGGATTAAGTTGCGCATTAGAGGTTCCAAATTTAAAGAGATGAGCTTGCTCTCACCCTTCATTAGAGTGAACAAGCATAGGGATGTACAAAATCAATCATGTAAAACCTCAAAATATTATGATTATAAATCTAATATTACATTACTCGTCTCGAATTAAGTTAAACAAATTTACGCAGAAAAAAATAGGCATAAAATAATAAAGGCACAGACTTGTAAAGGCGAATAGAGAAACCCGAACAGCCCCAAATAGTCAGGAGCAACGAGCACATACACAGAACCGGGATTGACAATGCATCTCATTCAAGTTTTTTTTAAGAAGGCACTAAGCTTCACTCGGGAATCAACTTCTAAGTTTCAGAAAATACAGAACCTAGGCGAAAACGAAGTCTGTAATCCAATACCAACCATACACTCCATCCCTTGTAATACAAACATTTAAAAAACAAAGGATCAACATTTTCATTGCTGCTACAAACTCCCAATTCCACTCAAGAAAGGCGAAAAATCGGAGCTGACTTTCAGATCAATCCCACAAAACCAAACGGTTCAAAACACTAAATTTCACAAAATTTTCATAAAACCCATTTCTATAAACACAGATTTATGCAATATTTCGCTATTCATTTTAGCAAATTTTCAATTCACAAGTCAACAAACCCAAAATTGAACGGTTGAGGTGCCCAAACCCAGAGAAAAATACCTGGCGGGAATGAGAGCCAGGTAATCGACGGCATGGGGGAGAAGCTGAACCACAATGTGGCCTCCAAAAAGCACCACAGACAAGCCCTTGCATAGCCGTGTGAATCCAGAGAACGCACCTGCGCTCTGCAACATCCAGAGTAAAAAATTCGAATTGAAACCCGCAAAGCGGAAGAAAATTGAAGAAAATTTGAAAGCTTTACCCCTGAGAGTGATGGAGTGCTCATGGCGGGCGGGCGGTTTGGCCGGTGGATTTGCGGCGGCGATGTGAGATCGGAGAATTAGACTTTGGGTGGAAGGAAGGTCTGGATCGTACGGGTTGCGGATCGGTCAGACCGGAGGATGAGTGTTTGATCAGGCGTTGAATATTAAATATAAAAATGGGTTCGTGATTGGGTAAGGCGCGAGCTTACAGTAAGTTGGTTGGAGTTTACTTCACCCAAATATTAGATTGGACTAACCTAGATTATAGCTGGGTTGCTACTTGGATTAGTTTGTCGTTTTCCTAATCCAATACAAGGTTGTCCAATTTAGGGCAGAAGCTATCTTGTAATCAAAGAAACTACATGGCAAACATGTACTGGAAGGATGATGTTACTTTTTAAAACAAGTGATGTCGCTAAAACTATTTCTTCATTGCAAGAAAGTTTATCTCAATTTAAGGAGTTTGTTTTTATATGTTTTTAGTTGATACAAGTACTGTAAACTCTAAAGTTTAAACTACTTTAGTTAACGAGTTTTTGTGCCCGAATCCCTCTTGTGTGATCAAGAGCATTAACATCGCCCAAGAGATTTTGTGCTCGAATCCCTATTCGTCAATGTAACAATACTTCAAACAACCCTGTAAGAATGTTTCACACGTGCTGCATGTGAACAAATCACATTTAAATGAATATTTTCACGGTCATTTGTAAATTTGGTCTTAGGTTGTAAGCATGAGACTGAGATTGCAAGTTCACTTAACTTATCAACTACAACAGCAACATAGCCTTATCCTAGTAAGTGAGGTCGGCTGTATAAATCCTAGGATACCAGTGCGTTCGGTTTTACGCTAAATCTTCCGTTAGCTCCAACTACTTCATGTATTTTCTTAAAGTCTCTTTCCAAGTCTTTCTCTACCCTTTTTCCCCTAAGCTCCTGCCTCATAATCGCATTTTCTTAGTGGAACATTGGTAGGTTTTCGTTTTACATGTCCAAACCATCTTAACTGATTTTGTTTAATCTTATGTTCAATTACGGCCACTCTTACTTGATCTCAGATATCCTCGTTCTGAATCATGTCCTTTCTTGTGTGCTCACACATTCTACTTTACTGCATGTATCAAATACCAAAAGGAAAAGTTAGATGTATTACAACATGGAAACATTTCCCTCTGTTTTGTCCACCCTCTAATTGCAGACGGCATTTTTCCATCTACACAACACTATTGAGATGCATGTCTATCGCTTACATTACATGCCATCGGATGTGTTGAACCCTAAAACGAGTTCTGATGTCGTACCACTTGACGGACATGTGTATGCAACCTCGCCGTTTTGTACCTTTCGACAGCTTGCAATGCCATCTTTGATCCACCTCCGTCCTCGCATTCTGGCTTAGTTTTTGTAAATACAAGGAATGCTGAGAGGACGAAGGTCTAATGGATTTGGTGTGGCCTTGATACCTTAATCCAACCCAAGCAAAAACGACAACGATAGCATCAGCGACGGCGATGCTGGTACCGTTAACCATCGCTGGCCGGAATGTGAGAGCTGGTGTTTCCTCTGTACGGAAACTGACTGTTAAGTTAGCGTTAATTAGTTGTTAATTCAATGAGTAACGCTGTGATTGGCTGTTGCCCGTTATCGGAGTGATGAAGAAGCAAAGAAGAAGGAGTGGCAGTGGAAGAAGCGTTGTGTGCACTGCGCTCCACGTGGCCTCGGCAGGCGAAAAGGGTCTTGACACGTGGACATGCGAACACAGCATGCACAGTATAACCTTGCTTTTTGGTGTAAACAATTGTGGAAACATGTCCACCCGAGAGAAAACAAGAGCAGCTAAACTTCTAAACATGACAATTGACATGGCTTAATGTAAGAGTTTAGAATAAAATGGCATAGATCAAACAATTAATCAGTATCTAGACTAGATTAATTGAGTTTAGCTGGGCAAAAACTTACCTATCACTAATGAACGTGAGACGTCAAAGTGATGATGTCTCAAACCAATCATGCGATGCTATGTAAAGTTAAAACACACTTATACAAATGATAAGTTTGGAATGTCATGATAGCTTAATCAATAGATAGGTAAGTCCTCTCATGTGTATTATATGGTGACAAACGTTTGGTGTTAATTAAAGAGTAGAGATTTTTTTTTTTTTTGAACCACCACGGGATGATCCACTGGTCCAGACCCATATTTCACATGATACGTCCTAGATTTGATTCTTGGCACTGTTGTATTACACGATGATGGCTATAAGATGTTGAAATACTTATGTAAGTCTTCATGGCTCTTAAAAAGGTAGAATACTGTGCCGAAGCCACTAACTGATTCTCTTTAAAAAAACAAACTTATTTTTCTTGGGTTTGGAAGTAAAGTTCCTTGGGGGCAATTACTGGAGGATGTCAAGAAAATGCCTTCAACATCGGTGATCCAAAAATAACTAGTCTTCCACTAACATATTGGTGATCGAAATGGTTCTAATTTCTAACCATTTCTTCCCCAATAACACCCTAAAATTTTACAAGAATATCTTTTGCTGCAGAAAAGTAGTGGGTTAGATTTTCCTCCCCTAACTCAACCTGCACCACAGACACTAGATTTCACCTATCAATTGGATATTCCACTCCACATAATCACCTATCTGGATTAACGGAATCCACGTGGCCCAATGACAGAGCACCAGCCAGACACATTAGCCAATCACAATCCACATCCAGATTCTTCCATATCCTACTTCCTGTAGTACTAGTATTCCTTGCCACTCCTTCCACCTTCCATAATCTCAGTCTCCGCCTTTCTCCTCCCCACAAACCCTAAATCTTGCAGGCACTAAATTTGCTAATGGCTTCCAACACTTTGATGAGCTGTGGCATCGCCACTGCTGCCTTCCCTTCAGTCCTCTCATCCTCCAAGTCTAAATTTGCGACCAGCGCAGTCCAGCTCCCAGGTATTGGTGCCAATGCCCCCTCCAGGTTCTCCATGTCCGCCGAGTGGATGCCCGGCGAGCCCCGCCCTCCTTACCTCGACGGCTCCGCCCCCGGGTAACGAAATACACCACTTCAATAATGTTAAGAGTAACAAGTTATTTATCAAATGATATCTCAGTACGTATCTTGTTAGAAAAGTAATATTTAGAGTAGAACTAGATTTGATAAATTTCAGTGCCACACCATTAGGTGATTAAGATTTCTTAACATGCTAATTTTTTTTTTAATAAAATAAGATCAGACAATATTTTTATTTTATTTTTTTACAAAAACGAATTAGTTGGTGGCTTCGCAGAGACAATTTAACCTTTTTTTGCCACTATCGTGTGGTTCACAAATGCCAAGAATCAAACTCAGTGTGTGTCATGTGAAATATGGTCATGAATTTCATTCCCAACCAATAGATCACCCCTGTGATGGTTAAGATTAGACAAAATTAGCTCCTCAAAACATACTAATTAGTTTGGTTAATTGTATTAATTTGTTGCTCGTGGGTTTTCAGTGACTTTGGATTTGACCCACTTCGGCTAGGAGAAGTGCCCGAGAACTTGGAGAGGTTCAAGGAGTCCGAGCTCATTCACTGCAGATGGGCAATGCTTGCTGTTGTAAGTACCATACAAACATTTTCCTTAAAATTTGCATCTATTTTTACTTTGCAATGACTAAATTAACCTTGCAAACCCTCAATTGTAGCCAGGGATTCTAGTACCAGAGGCTTTGGGATTGGGCAACTGGGTAAAAGCACAGGAGTGGGCTGCCGTTCCAGGAGGCCAAGCCACCTACTTAGGCAATCCAGTTCCATGGGGCACTTTGCCTACAATTTTGGTCATCGAATTCCTTTCCATTGCCTTTGTAGAACACCAACGCAGCATGGAGAAGGACCCTGAGAAGAAGAAGTACCCTGGTGGCGCTTTTGACCCCTTGGGCTACTCCAAGGACCCCAAGAAGTTCGAGGAATACAAGGTCAAAGAGGTCAAAAATGGTTAGTACATATATACATTACGTTTCTTCTGTCACATATCTATGTTTATGTTATGTTGTCCGACTGTATTTGAAGAGTATTTAATTACTGATTGACGATCGTGTAGGCCGGCTTGCGTTGTTGGCTTTCGTCGGGTTTGTTGTTCAGCAATCGGCGTACCCTGGCACCGGACCGTTGGAGAACTTGGCTACTCACTTGGCTGATCCATGGCACAACAACATTGGGGATGTCATCATCCCCAAAGGGATTTTTCCTTGAATAATTCGTGCAGTATTGATTTCACACCCACTGTAAAGTTTAAAATTCCATGTAACCATCTTCGATGAATCCGAACTTCTTGTCATGTGTGAGTGAGTTTAAAAGCAAACATTTACCATCACCTTCATATTTTAGTATTGATAAAGAACTGTACTTAAAGATCATGCTTGAATATATCAGTTAGTTCTTCTCAATTATATTTCAGTGCCTATATATACATAATGATATATGACTTTCTATTTAATCTAATTAAAAATATAACTTTAGCCCCCTAAAATTCAATTTTTTTTCATAAAAATAACCCGGTGTGATTTTTTTACTTAAGAAAATCAGTGACTAGAATCTACATAAACGAATTCAGTAATTACAACTTTAAATAATTTACATTTTTCGTGTACCGAAAATGGTCTATTGCATGTTTGATATTGTATGCATATTATAAGGGAAGAGTTAGTGATTTTGAAAAAGATTTCGACAAAAAGAAAAGATTTTGAAAAAGAAAAGAAAATAAAAGACAGTAGTGCACGAAATTAGGGAGATCAATGCACAGAGGAGGCGAAATTAAAGTGTACAAATATAGCTAAATCAATGAATGCATTTTAGATTGATTACATATTAATATGAAATATGAGAATTGTCCTGAAAAATTATATGAGTTAGATTTTTTTTTATATATTTAACGACTTCTTTAGTTTAAACGCTAATAATAAATATTGAATATTAATGCTTATTTTCTCATTTTAAATAATAAAAATTTAGAGAATCAGATATATGATACACGTTATTGAAGCATTGTCATGTTTTCAAATTTTCATAAAATTAGGCATTCTAATTTAACTTTTTATTATATTACTAAATTTGAAAAGGAACAAATTTTGGGTTTTTTTTGTTTTTTTTTTTTTTGTTTTTTTTTTTTGTTTTTGTTTTTGTTTTTTTTGTTTTTTGTTTTTGCTTTGTTTTGGAAAACTAGACATTATATACCGGGCCCAAGGCTAAACAAACATACAAAGAGGTCCACAAAATTAGTGTATTCCTAGTTCAATATAAATTTGGACAAGTTTATCAACATTCTCACATTGAGATTTTTTTCTATATTTTTATCATTCATACTCGAGTTCAATGCATTTTTTTTTTGTGGTTGCGTTATCAAGGTACACATTAGGCAAAAAAGAAAAACTATTTGTACCTTTTGATTTTTTATCGATTTTTGTTTTGTTGTTTGTACATATTGTCTGTTATTTAATCTACCATGATTCTTAAATACCCGTTGTCACCAATTTAGCCAATTGTTGGCATCATAATTCTTTGACACTAACTAAAATATATTTCATTGTTGTATTTTCAAGAACAACCCAACGGCAATTCCAATTTATCCTAATAATACCTCTTTTGTGGGATTGTAACCTGAAGTTTGTTCGAGGTTCAATGAACTTGTAATGGGGCTTTCCAGATGACACATGTTGTGCCTGATCTTCCTCCATGTTTGTTGAAATTGGATTTTGACGTGCATGTTTTTCATTTGTCATCCGTCAATGACAAAAAAAGTTGTGTGATTATCAATGTTAACGAATGTCAATTACCACACAATTTTTATTTGTCAGTGAACAATGACAAATGTCACATCCCGGTCCGGATCCCCATCACATTCTGAGTTTGACTCCATCGTAGCACAATATTGTTCGCTTTGGGCTCCGACCACGCCATCACGGTTTTGCTTCTGGGAACTCACACGAGAACTTCCCAGTGGGTCACCAATCATGGGAATGCTTTCGCATGAACTTGCTTAACTTCAGAGTTTTAATGGAACCCGAAGTCAGTGAGCTCCCAAAAGGTCTCATACTAGATAGAAATGAGAATATACATATAAGGCTTATAAGATCCACTCCGCTGAGCGATGTGGGAGGCCCGACGTCCTCGTTGGCACACATCCGACCAGGGATTGGCTCTGATACCAAATTGTCACATCTCGGCCCGGGCCTCCACCACATCCCGGGCTTGACTCCACCGTAACACGATATTGTTCGCTTTGGGTCCCGACCATGCCCTCACGGTTTTGTTTCTGGGAACTCACACGAGAACTTCCCAGTGGGTCACCCATCCTGGGATTGCTCTCGCGCGAACTCGCTTAAGTTCAGAGTTCCTACAGAACTCGAAGCCAGTGAGCTTCCAAAAGACCTCGTGCTAGGTAGAAATGAGAATATACATATAAGGCTTACAATATCCACTCCCCTGAGCGATGTAGGATGTTACACAAATGCAAAACAAGCACATCCAAATATGATTTCAACAAATATAAAAGATAATCAGGCACCATATATGTCATCTAAAAAGCCTTAACTACAAGTTCATCAAAGAAAACCAATGAAAAAGGGACAAAATAAATAGTATCATGTTTGACTTTTTAGTGTTAAAATGTGGTTTTTCGTTAAAGTGAACAGTACCGTGAGTTTTTCGTTAAAACTCTCTAAATTAAAATTGCCGCTGGCTTGTTATTGAAAACACATCTTCCAATAATAGCACCCTCCATTTGACACCTAATAGAAAAAACAACAATAAAATATATTTTAGTTAGTGTCAAAGAATATGTGAAGGGAATTATGATGCCAATAATTGGCTAAATTGGTGGCAACAGGAAAAAATAGATGAAAACAAAAAGGTATAAATAACTTTCCCCTTATAATTTGCATAGAATTAATTGTATATATCAAACACGCAATACGTGTACTTTTAGCACTCGAAAAAAGGAAATTGCGTAGAGTAGAATGTAATTAACGAATTATCTTATTAGGATCTTAGTATCATTGGGTTTCTTTGAGTAAAAATCATGTCGTGTTTTATAGAGAAAATTGAATTTTAGGGTCTAAAGTTAATTTTTTTGGGAATATTAAACTAGAGAACTACTGTATCAATGATATGAAAACGTTTGTTTATCAACGCATGCATTGTTATTGTAATTATAGGCTTATATATTACACAGCCACATTTGGTGTAGGGCTAATTACAACATCTTTGATAAAGCACACACAAACATTTACATCACGTCCGGTAGGTATGCATTGGAAGCTTAGACCATCTCTAACCGAAGGGTCCAGAAAGTCAGAGGGCCGAAAATAGTCCGAAAAACGTCTCCAACCGAGGGTTAGGCCAAATGGCTCGTGGGCCCCATGGGACAAAAAATGGCCAAAGGGCCAACTGGCTGGCCCAATCCAACCTGCCAACCTCGAGCCGGGTTGGATTTTTCATTATTAATACATTTCATCCGACAATATTGTCCTTTTTTTTTTTTTTAATTCCCCCTTTTTTTTCCTATAGATACCTAAGCCATTCCTACACCATTTTTCACATAATTTTCACCCTTTTTAAATTTAAGTTGTTGTAGTTTTTAAATTTAAATAATAAATTATGTTTGGCCCTATGGCTCTTTAGCCCTCGATTGGAGATGGTTTTGTCACATGGCTAAAACGAGCCTTATAACCCTTTGGCCTTCGGTTGGAGATGAGGCAAATAGAGTCATGTACTGTTCATTAAAATATTAATATCTTGGAGGACCAGAGGACTAAAACGAGCCCTTTTGCGAGCCTTCGGTTGGAGATGGCCTTATGTATTCCTTCTGGAGATTAGCCTTCATAAAGCTTCACATTCAAGTGGATGGCAGTTGGCCAAATCTTCAGGAGAAGGGCTTGGGCTTTGTTGGACATTGAACAATGGGGAATGTGAACCCTCGACATAATGAGTTTGTTGATGTGGATGCAAATTTCTTCCTACTTGTTCTTAGACAAAATTGCACCTACAAAACAAATAACACCTTAAGTTAAGGCCAAGAACCTCACGCGCCCATGATGAATTAGGGGGGGGGCTTTGGCCGAAGAACCTCTGATGCCAAAGTTAGAATTTCAAGAGAAAAGTGTTTGGAGAATTTTGAGAATTTAGCAAGAGAATTGAAATTGAGTTTTAGAGAGAATGATAGTGTTTAAATAGGGATGTGGCCAGCCACCTTGGGAGGAGATGGATCGGCCACTTGGATGGTTTTGTGGGTGAAATTCATGATTTATGTTTAATTAGCAAATTAATTGAATAATTAATCAATTACTTATCTAATTAATATAATAAAAAAGAAATGATTTAGGGGTTACCTGTGGAGAAGATATGATGACGGATGGATGAAATAGGTTATAAATAAATACCTATTTGGGCAACTTTCACTTGATTGAAGGATGATTGCCTACTGCTTGCGCGTAGAAATCCCGATGTGCCTTGAGGGCAATGTTGTCCTTTTCACCCAAAAATCCACGTGTCGTCTCCATATTTTTCTTGATTATTCTTTCCTCCACAAATGGCCACACACCTGTTGGGTTGCTCGCAAGAAAAGACAGCAAGTGTAGAGATCTCCAACTTTGATGCAGATTCTTACTTGGATTTGGAATTAGATTCTTCTAGGAAAGGGAAATAAATCACCTCCAAAGCTTATTTAAGCCTACGTTAAATAGGGGATTAAATCAACTTCGAAGGGCAATTATTTGTCCCTAAAAGAAAGAGAGAAAACTAGAGGATATTTGTTCCCCCTCCCCTAGCACTCTTATTTGCTCGCCTATGCAAAGAATCATCTTCCGTCGATTACTTTGTCTTCTCCGCACCGCACCAATGTAAGAAAAACTTAATTATCCTTGTCTTCTTCTTGAGTAATGTTGCAACGGGCTAGCAGTCGGGGTGGTGCAGCACGTCGGCTAGCAGGGGCCAGAAGTCGGCTTGGCATGGGCTAATGAGATAGTGTGGCAGGAGCCACTGCTTGTGCTACTAGGCCTGACTGAAGCCAATGATTGGCTTGGCATGGGCAGAGGAAGTGGTGTGGCATGGGCCACGGTTTGGGCTACCTCGTTTCTGCTGCTTGTCACAAATAAGGAAACTACTTGAGTTTGATTTCTCAACTACCATAGATGGAGCAGTCAAGGATGAAGTTGCCAAGATCGGTGCTGCCGAAGATGAAGTGTCGGCTGAGCAAACTGTTGAGTGTAAAGTTGTTGTTGCTCCCTGATCATTTGCTGTCTAATTGGTATTCAAGCATTTGATATTTTGAGCTATGTGGCATTCTCGCACTGGAGAGCTTACCCAGATGGGTGTCAGAGAATTAGTTTACCCTCTCGCACTAGAGAGTTTACCCATATGGGTGTTGGGGAATTGGTTTACCTTCTCGCACTGAAGATCAATTAGTTTACATTGTCGCACTGTAGAGTTTACCCATATGGGTGTTAGGGAATTGGTTCACCCTATTGCACTGTAGAGCAATTAGTTTACCCTCTTGCATTGAAGAGCAATTAGTTTACCTTCTCGCATTATAATGCTTACCCATATAGGTGTTGGGGAATTGGTTTACTCTCTCACACTATAGAGCAATTAGTTTACCTTTTCGCACTGGAGAGCTTACCCATATGGGTGTCAGGGAATTGGTTTGCCTCTCACACTGGAGAGCAATTAGCTTAACCTTCACACTGGAGAACAATTAGTTCAATCTTTCGCACTGGAAAGCAGACCCATATGGGTGTCGGGGAATTGGTTTACCCTCTTGCATTGGAGAGCATGGAAGTCGTTGTTGTGAGTGCAGCTGAGGAAAACTAGATTACTGGACAACTAAAATAATCCTCAGCTTGCAAGGTCTTGTTTGGCAAACTGCTTGAGACTTCGAACTGTTTGTGGAACCGGCGTAAGGGTGTAAGCGCAGTGATCTGTTCCTAGAATTATTGCCCCATCATTATATGTTTCATTGTGTGCCATTTTGAGGCTTGATTGGCATGAGCCACAGGGCAAGATCGGCACAGCTAGGAGCCGTGGTGCAAGATTGGCACAATTATGAACCATGGTGATAGATCAATGGCTTTCGGAAGCCCTGGAGCAGGTACGCACGGCTGTGAAAGTAGAGCTAGGGCTGGCTTGGGCCAGGTTGTGCGCAGCAGGAGGAATTAGACCACTAGGTCTGTGATGCTCAGTTATTGGTGATGTGCTACTTCAGTATTGAATCGTCTGGAGTTGGGCTGGTGTGTCATTCTGGTACTCGTTTACCCCCGGTGCACCATTAGACTGAGCTGCTACATTTGTCGGAACAGAAGTAATCTTTGTATTTGACAATCTATGTGCGATAATCTCGTCTGCTCGATCTTGTCATTGAAAGATGACCCGCTTATGTTGGTCATGTCTTATCTGAGCCCCTTGTCAGTAGCTTCATTGTTCTGGAAATCGCGCAATCGCTTAGTCATGAACCTCTCTACTTTTTCCCAAATTTGCATTTGTTGGGGGTAGCGGAGCTCTTGGCTGCCCCTGGTCATGACCTGCTGGTCTAGGCTACTCTTCCATATGTTCGGCTAGTTTATGTCGCGGCTGCGGTACATGTGGTATGTTTCTAGACGAGCGGGTAACTCGTAGGCTACTGGTTGAACTTGAGTCGGATTAAGTGACTGCTTCTCTCCGTCCGCTGTGCTACCTACTCTGATGTGAGGTGGAAAATACTTCTTGATGGCCTTGACGCGAATGAACGCTTTGCTTGGAAGATTGCTCATGTTGATTATTGGAGTGTGGCCTCAACCGTGAATGTATATTCATCCATGGGCTTAACTGAGAATGCACACTCCTCTGCGCGCTAAGATGAGAATGTACGCTATCTCAAGGGTCCAGTCGGGAGTGTACTCCATCAGAATGCTCGGTTCGTGACTGGTCAAGTGGCTGTTTATTGGGACACTGTAGGAGAGGTTCATTGTCTACCCTTGTCCTACTTCGGGACACCTCGTCTGGGGCACGTTGCATCTCGGTACGTTGCAAGAGCTGATTCACCAAGGTTGTCTACTATGCGAGGGCGCTTATTAACTCTATGACTTGTCGAGACAAGTGTTGTTCGTCATTCGAGTTGGAAAAGCTTGGACAGAATGCGTCTTCTTGAGTAACGGAAGTGTAGTGGACTTTGGGTACGATATTTGAGTTGAGAAATGTCAAATCCACGAAGAAATGGGATGAAAATGCCCCTGGTTCAATTGTCGGCCCATAAATTTAGAGCCAGGACAGTTGAACCAGTCTTGGACTGACTTGGGCTACTTGGGACACCACGAGAGTGAGCTGGGCCACGGAAGTAAGCCGTGCCACATGTAGGGTGCGTGGACGTAGTGCAGCGCTGAGAGCGCATTGGATTTGGGCAGAGGGAATGGTTAGCGCAGCTTGGGCCTACGATGCGTCTTGGGTAGCGGCTTGGGCCTGCTTGCACTAGGCTTGGCTCGGCTGCCTTGTGGCGTGGGCTACAGATTGGGTCGCCTGCTGGGCTACTTACACAACTGTTGCTAGCGCCTGGGCTTTGTCCTAGGATTGGGTTGCTGTAATGGCAGCGCATAAGGCATGGTTTGCTGTCACAGAGCTGGTGCACTCGCCACTGCCGCGGAGATCCCCGTGGCTGCCATGGTGGTGGTGCTTCGTGGTGGCAAGGATGCTCATCTTGCCGCCGCATTGAGCCTTGTGGATTGTCGTGGTGGGGCTACATCGCAATCTCCATCACTTGATTCGGATCCTTTTTATCCAAAAATTCACGTGTCGTCTCCATATTTTTCTTGATTATTTTTTGCTCTACATTTGAATTGCAGCCAAGTATGTCGCAACCACCAAAGCAAACACCAGTGTCAAACGCATTGCTTTATCTTCCATTGAAGATAAACAAAATTTAAGCTTATATGATGGAATTGACAGACTTCTCTCTAATTTCTTGGTGGTTTTTAGGTAATGATGTCAGGTGTTGGTCGTGTGATTTGGTTTTTATAGTATAAATTGATGATAGGCAAATGATAAATGATAGCTCGTTATTCAATGTATTTAATTATTGTACCAATGTATCTTCTGTATCTAATACTATTATATAATGTATGTCTTCTTTGTTTACGGTATCATAGTAGTCTGACTTATCTTTTTACGCTTTGAAAGTTCTATATGCATGCGTATATATTTGAACGAAAGTCAAACTCATGCATTTGTGATCAAATTTCTATAATTTATATATACAAAAATAAAACTTATACACGTGTGAACCTGTGTGATCAAACACTTGTTTGAATCTTTTTAGTTTGTAAAACAAATGAAACTCATGCACGTGTGATGCATTTTAATTAATTTACTGTGATAATTGCAACATTTACTTTTATAATGGTCATTGGTCATCTTTGACATAGGCAAACTGATCTCTTTGGAATTATTGTATAAAAGAACATATATGCCTTGGAAACGTTTACAAGTGGTAAGTTTTGAGTGAAGCCTAACTCAATAGTTTCAGATTTTTTTTAAAATAAGGTGGACGGAACACGTGTTTTTGAAACAGTGCTTTGTGAGGGCAATGCCGGTAGTTTATGTCAATTTTTTGTTAACTGTTGTAATACCACGAAAAACTAAATCTTGATTAATAAACGGATCAAATGTTTTATAAACCACTCGTATCATTTCTATGGACCTATCATTTTGCTCATATAGACTCATCATTTTTTTTTAAAATTAGTCACTTCATCGCTTGAATTTATTAGAAACATTATTGATCAATAAATTTTGACCAATTTCATGTATATAAACCATACAAATTGTGACAATTGCATGAATTCGCCAAATACATGCACTCAGATCTTGTATCAGATAGACCGTTCTTCCAAAATCGGTCGTATAAAAGGTTAAAAAAAGAAGAAGAGTCGTTATCTTATATTGGTTTTGATGAAGAGAATTGCATTACGTGTCCCTAATTGAAAATGAAAGGGACAATTCCAAAATCAAAGGCCGGTCCTATCCAACTACTAGTCATATGACTCATCAATAATACTGATGTTCCAACAGAAAGTGAATTATACACAAAGCATTTTGTCCTAGATCGGCGATTCATCATCAGTCCCCATCGATCTCAACCCCAACGTTATCAAGATAAGAGTAAAGTGTGAAAAGGAATTTATATTATTTTACACCAACACACTCGTCAAATACATACAAGAAAATGTATATATGAGGAAGCCAGAGATGATAGTATGACAAGAAGGGAGCTTACCTAACTACTGCTTCATTAATCACTCTGCATCTTCACTAATTACTCGCAGTCTGAGAAAACAAAGAGAGAAAGATGGGAAAGGGAGGCATGTCTGATGGAGATCATGCTGATCGCTGTTATGGGGAAGCAATAAATGGTGATGTTCAACAAGAGAACATGGCTGCTTGGCTTCTTGGTGTTAAAAACCTCAAGATTCAACCTTACAAGCTCCCTAATCTTGGTATCTATTTCTTTTCATGTTTTGATTGAATCACTTTTTTTGGAAATGAAGAATTAGATTGTTTGATTCACTGGTATAGTTTTTTATGAGAAATTTGTCAAGATGATCATTTTAAAAATATTAATTGGTGAAATGATTAGGGTTTCAGTTGTCGTCGATATTTGATTGCTATATTGTTGATATCTAATTTTTTTTTGAGTTCAGTGATTGAAATTTTAATTTTAGTCTTTTTTGTCAACTTCATATGATTTGTTTCATTTTTCTGTCAAACTATTTGTGAATTGTGATCCTTTTGCCTGGTTAACATCCTGCTCCCTTTTTTTTTTTTCCTGGGATTTCTTGATTTTAGGACCCCATGATGTTAGAGTCCGGCTGAAGGCTGTTGGCATATGTGGCAGTGATGTACACCACTTCAAGGTGCTCCCTTCTTTAATTTGATGTGTAATAGTAAATTAGTTGTTAAGTTCTTTGGCTTTTGATGGATTAGTGCTAAGTTGGAGTTAAAATGATTTGAACTACAGTGCATATCGAAGCATATATCCGCTCTAGCGTGCATGGTTACACATGAAAGAATAACAAAAAAATAAAAATAGACATACATGTGGGTGTTGTTATATATATCCAATAAATCATCACTGAATGGTCTGTTTTTATTTTTGTTTGATACTATTTTCAGAACATGAGGTGTGTAGATTTTATAGTTAAAGAGCCAATGGTTATTGGGCATGAGTGTGCTGGGATCATCGAGGAAGTTGGGAGTGAGGTCGAAGATTTGGTGCCAGGCGATCGTGTGGCACTAGAGCCTGGTATCAGTTGCAAGCGATGCAACCTCTGCAAACAAGGCCGGTACAATCTATGCCGCAAGATGAAGTTTTTTGGCTCCCCTCCAAATAATGGTTGTCTGGCAAATCAGGTACACATATTTTGCAGCATTTCAAAACTATAATATATATACCAATTGTGCACTTTAGTCCGCGTAGTTTCAATTGTGTCAATTTTAATCTTCTAGGTTTGCTTTTATCTTTTGGCAGGTTGTCCATCCAGGAGATCTATGTTTTAAACTGCCAGACAATGTGAGTTTGGAGGAAGGGGCAATGTGTGAACCCTTAAGTGTTGGTATTCATGCTTGTCGCCGGGCAAATGTCTGTCAAGAAACAAATATCTTGGTCGTGGGAGCAGGACCTATAGGACTTGTTACACTGCTAGCCGCTCGTGCTTTTGGGGCGCCCCGAATTGTCATTGCGGATGTGAATGACGAGCGTTTGTCGATTGCCAAGAGTCTTGGCGCGGATGAAGTCGTTAAGGTTTCAACAAATATTGAGGTGCGTACGATAGTAATGCTTCTGAAATGGTTTAACGCGCATTGTGATATCGAAATATCGAGACCTTGTATTTAGAATTGATCATTTATATTTGTTCTGAAGGATGTAGCTGAGGAAGTGGCTAAGATACAAAAGGTTTTGGAAAATGGAGTGGATATAAGCTTCGACTGTGCAGGCTTTAACAAAACCATAACAACAGCTTTGAGTGCTACTCGTCCCGGAGGCACAGTTTGCCTTGTGGGAATGGGTCAGAGAGAGATGACTCTTCCTCTCGCTACCAGGTATAAATTGATCCTTATTTTCAGTTAAACTTTTGGCCGGTCCCTTTTGGGCTAGCACCCGGTTGAATCGACGTATCATAATTGCCATATGTGCATGATATAAAAGTTAAACAGAAACTATTTGTATCACTCTTTTTACTCCGCATTTGGTATCACATTTCTAGTAGAGGCGAGACTTGCTACTAGCATTACTAAAATTGTTGTGGCTTCATGATTTTTACGCAGAGAGATTAATATAATTGGAATTTTCCGATACCAGAACACATGGCCGCTGTGCCTTGAGTTTCTGAGAAGTGGTAAGATTGATGTGAAGCCCCTCATAACGCATCGGTTTGGATTTTCTCAGAAGGAGGTGGAAGAAGCCTTTGAAACCAGTGCTCGCGGAGGCAATGCCATTAAGGTCATGTTTAACCTGTAAAATCGATCGGAGACAAGGATATTAATCATTTGGACCCAATCTTTGGTGATGTTTTTGTTTGCCTTAGTAATTTGGGGTTTTCTTTTTTGGTTGCATGCAGTGAATTATGATGTCGGATAAGCTTTTTTCTTCTGCTAAGTGCGATCTGGGTTCAAACCCTCCGCTTCTTGTAATATAATACTATTGTTAACAAAAATAAAATATAAATTTTGTGCCTACAACTAATCGTATTGTTATCTAAAAAATACTATTCTAAGATAAATATTCTATTAATCAAATAAAACGAAGAACTTCATCAACATGAAATAAAATTCCATGATTACAAATACCATAGCAAGGCGATGCAATATTTCAACCGCATAATGAACCACATCCAACTACACGAAAGGATAATGATCACGATGACAAAACCTTGCATCACTTCCTAATAAAAAATTCATAACAAATAATAAACTAAGAGAAAAGACCACCAATCATGTGAAAAAATGTTACTTTATAATACATGAATTATCCTCAACATTATTAGAGGCTTACATATACCACAACTCGTTAACGGGGAATTTGTTATGTAAGCAGATTGGTGAGGAACTAGATCCTCTGCTAGAGTAACAGTTGTTGTGTAGCCAAGTTCACCTGCCCGATGCCAATGATACGAAGGGCTAGCTTTGCTACCCGAAAAGTCTACTTGCTTGCCGGACGCTTTCGTTTTCTAGTTTTCTTGGACTTTTAGTTTGAACAGATATTATGTTAGTGTTCAGTGTACCTTAGTATAATGTTGAAACTTCTAAAATTTCTTTTCAATTCCTTCCCGTTCAAAGAGTCTGAAATGAAACTTCACTTCTAAGGGGCGATAGGCCTCATTACGTAGCTTTCTTTCCATCTTATTGAGACTTCGATCGATATACTACTCTATTTGAAGCAGATATTATTGTATCTTTGGAAAAACACGCACAAGAAGTTTCTTCACCCAAAGACACACAATGGAAGCTTATGTATTTCTCCTCGAGTTCAGCCCTGCACGATGCTTCACAACCTTGTGGATGGCAGCTGGCCACGTCAGGAGAAGGCCCAGGGCTTTCTTGGTTGGTTATTGATGGACGCGAACCCTCGACAAAAACAGTACTGTGCAGTCTGTGCTGGTTTGCAGCCAAGAATGTCAAGAGCACCAGAGCAAACACAAGCCTCAAACGCATTGCAGCCGTTCCTTCCATCTGAAAGTACACAAAATTTAGAGCCTCTATTTCTTTTGTAGGGTTTAGTTAGTTGATGCTATCAAATAGTCTTTCATGCATGAAGTGGGGTTTTGTAGTACTGAAGGGATGACTAATATGGAAGGAAATCCTTTTGGTGGATTCAAATCTAGTAATTACCAATGTTTATCTAGCTTCAGTTATAGAATCATTAATTAACTCTAGTTTAAAGTAATTTTTATGTTTATACCTTTTTCACGAAATTCACGCCTTCTAACAGTCTAACTATTGCGTTCTTATTTGTGAGTCTCACAAACATGAATGATCAGGAGATCAACGGAACACACTAATCCTAAAATTTGTCCTAATTGATACATGCATTGTTACCTATACAATGGGCATGTGTCTCGAGCTTTTAGAAGCGGTAAGAATAGTGTGAGCCCTGTAACGCACTGGTTGAATTTTCTAAAAGGAAGGCGGAAGCCTGAAAGGCGTTTCTGAAACCCGTGCTTGTGGTTGTGGGGGGAATGCCAATAAGGCCATGCTTGTAATGTTCTCATCTTTAATTGTAATTTTTGTTTCCTGATAAAGAAATGCACTGGTTTCAATTTTGTTAGGTGGATCGGAATAGGTATAATCGTACCTAAATTGAAATCTAAGCAAAATACACTGATTAAAAAAACGAGTATAGTCCTAACAAGATCTGAAATATTCATGTTTAATCATACTTCTAGTTTTAATTTAAATTAAGAACACTACAGAAAGTTATTATTTGTCGGACAAAAAGTCTTTACCGGATGGAATACCTCATTTAATTTAATTTGACGATTAAGCTAAATGAGGGGGCCAATGGTGTAAAGATATGTAAATTTTTTTTTTTTTTTGTAAACTAGATTTTATTACCAGAGCAAAGATGTAAAAGATTACACTAAAAGCCCACAGCAAGGCAATCAACCAAAAACAAAGCCGGAAGTGCAAGGGGAAGAAAACCCAACACTACCAGGAAGCACTAAGGTCACCCGTTGCACATCTGAATAAAACTAATGTGGGCAAGGTGGTCCATCTTTATTAAGTACATGAACAAGTAAAGAAAAGATGAAGGTTTGTCAACCCAAGTACAATCACACATCTCCACATAACTCCGCGACCATATTGGCTGATCTTGGAGTCCAAGACCAGCGACAGTCATGGAAGGAATTGCCAACTTTCTTGCACTTTGATAAGATTGGAAACACCTCCCACCTGCCATTTGTGATGCTACCCTGTAAACATGAAATGGATTTCGAAGAATCAGATTCAAGAACCACACGACTGAGACCCAAAGAGTGACCCAACTCACAGCCGCGAAGAATGGCTAAAGCCTCAGCAGCCGGAACACTAGGGGCCTGAAAACGGAACCTCCGAGCAGCAATAAAATTACCCACAGCGTCCCTCACCACCGCTCAATGGCTGTTTTTGCTAAAATTGGAAGATGAAAAATGCGGTTGACCAAGAAAAAGGTTTCCAACTTTTAATGGGCCTGTAAAGGGCTCAAAATAAATTTACAAGAAATTGGGCCGTCAAGTCTCCTGGAGGTCAAGCTAAAGAGCCTGCTATCTCCAAGCAACGAATTTGTGGGAGCCAAAGCGCGAATGAGAGAGAGAGAGAGAGAGAGAGGAATTAGGTTTTGGTCTGTGAAGTCCATCCGCCATTGATGATCTCCTTGCTCGCACCTGTAAAATTGCGTTTCCCTCGCGCTTCAGCTCGCACTCTTCATCCTCAAACGTAGCCGCCGCCGACCTCCAGCTGCAACCTCTAGTTATCTCCGGCCGTCGCATCGCCGACAGCAATTAGCCAAACTCATCTCCAGGTAGATTTTTCGTTTTCATTTGATTCTGATTGATTTTGCCTGTCTGTTTTTTTTATTCATCGGGTTAGATAAACACGGTAGCTCTGTTGATTTTGTTAAGTTGCTTTGAATTTATACCAAATTTACTTAGTTTTTAGTACCATTGTTTGTTTTCTGGTATGTCGAATCTTTGATAGAGTTAGTGGAGAAAGGATTGAAATTTTGCAACTTAGGGTCGGGAAATGATTGAAATTTTGAAACTTGGGTTGCATTTGATTTGAGCGTCCGCATCTAATTCAGTATGTAGTATATGTGACTGATTATGTTTTTGGTTGAGGATTAGGGATTTTGGGGTGATTAGGTTTTAGTTTCTAGTTTTTGGTCTTTGGGTATATTTTGTGTGTCTGCGTGAGAGAGAGAGAGAGAGAGACAGAGAGAGAGAGAGAGAGGAAAAAACGCATGAATTCTGTTTAATTCCGGCTAACTTACATAATGAAATTCTAAAGCGTTTTCGGGAAATTTTGGTGGTTAGGTAATATGGCACACAGGTTGCTTAGGAATGTGGAGGCAGATGGTTGGGAACGATCAGATTTTCCCATCATCTGCGAGTCATGCTTGGGAGACAATCCCTATGTCCGGATGACACGAGCTGATTATGACAAGGAGTGCAAGATTTGCACACGTCCGTTCACAGTTTTCAGGTGGAGGCCTGGTCGTGATGCGCGATTTAAGAAGTCGGAGATTTGCCAGACGTGCAGTAAGTTGAAAAACGTTTGTCAAGTTTGTCTCTTAGATCTTGAATATGGCTTGCCAGTTCAGGTTCGAGATACTGCTCTGGCCATCAGTTCTGACGATGCTATTCCAAAGAGTGATGTAAATAGGGAGTTTTTTGCTGAGGAACATGACCGAAAGGTAACTTCTTTGTCTTTTTCTTGAATAATCAGTCTAAGTTAGGGCATCAGTTTTATGTAAATGTTTTGAAATACTTTAGCATCTAATTTATTTTAATTGGTGAGTGCAGGCTAGAGCGGGTATAGATTATGAATCTTCATATGGAAAGGCACGGCCCAGTGACACTATTCTGAAACTTCAAAGAACAACACCCTATTACAAAAGGAACAGAGCACATGTCTGCAGTTTTTACATCCGGGGTGAGTGTACAAGAGGTGCTGAGTGCCCTTACAGGCACGAAATGCCCATAACTGGGGAATTGTCACAACAAAATATCAAAGATCGTTACTATGGGTATGTCTTCATACTTTACTTCATCTCGAAATGATAAGGAAGCATTAGTTTGTGGTTGCATGTTTTATGCTTATTGTTAGCTGACAACTGTTGGCTAGTTAAAACTTGTGAATTTGTTTGTTGATGAGCATTATTCTGATGTTTAATGGTTTCCACTCAATTGTTTGTTGAGATTGAAAGTCTACCTATTTTCATTTAAAGAGGAAATTATTAAATAAGAAGTGGTAGATAAACAAGTATATGAAGTCCGAATTTTCTCTTCGTTTTGGTTTTGTTTAATATCTTTGTTCGTATTCCTCTTTCAATAAGTCAGAGTTGAACTATCGATCTGAAGGTAATAGGGTGTGCTACTTCAGCCTCTAGCTGTTTCAACCAACATTATTGCTTTCAAAAACCTATAGCTATATCCCTAATTTTGCCGTCACATCTTTGCACATGCCTATAATGTAATCCTATGGATTTCTGAATTTTGTGATGCTCATGTTTCATCGTTAAATATCTGCAGAGTCAATGATCCAGTGGCGATGAAGCTTCTTAACAAGGCAGGAGAGATGCCCTCCTTGGAACCTCCTGAGGATGGAAGCATAAGAACCTTATACGTGGGTGGGCTTGATGCGAGAATTTCGGAGCAGGATTTGAGGGATCAGTTTTATGCTCATGGTGAAATAGAATCCGTTAGGATGGTACTCCAACGAGCATGTGCATTTGTAACCTACACAACAAGAGAAGGTGCAGAAAAGGCTGCAGAAGAACTCTCTAACAAACTGGTAATAAAGGGTTTGAGGTTGAAGTTAATGTGGGGTAGGCCTCAAGCACCTAAACAGGAATCAGAGGGCACGGCTGAAGCTAGACAGCAGGCGGTGGCTCATGGTGGTTTGTTGCCTCGAGCAGTCATATCTCAACAACAGAACCAATCACAAGACCCAGCTGTGCCTGTGCACTACTACAACGTGCCACCTCCACCTTCACAGGAGAGGTCATTCTACCCATCCATGGATCCTCAAAGAATGGGTGCCCTTATTCCATCGAAGGAAGGGGCTCCTAGTGGGACCACAGGGTCAGGAGAGCGCAGTTCCGCTTCAGAGAGGCAGCAACATAGTCAGCATTATGCTTTTCAGAACATGGCTCATCCACATGGCCAATATCGTCAGCAGTTTTATCCTCCATATGGGCATATGCCTCCACCATCACCACAGTACCAGCAATACCCTCCGCAATATCATGCTACAGTGCCGCCACCAACATCCTTGCCAATGAACCATCAGTACCAGCATTCTGCGACACCAGGGCCGGCACCCCCAGGTTCTACATCTTCGGGATCTGCGCCGTCATCAGGATCTGCACCTTCAAGTTCTGGACCTTCGGAATCTACTCCATCTGCATCCGGATCTGCACCAACGGGGTCATCACAGCAGTGACACTGCCCACCTATTATTGTTTTAATACTGTCGTTACGCGTGCTTTTGGTTATTCGAGTCAAAACTGGGCTTGCATTCTGGATTTCGGAAATTAATCTGTAACTTCCCAGGGTTTGCCCTTGTAAGCAAAAATTCTGCACCTTTTGTGGATCAATCCTTTACTTTTTGTGTTTTTGGAGTTAACCTGAGCATTACATTGTTGCTTTGAGGTTTAATCTGCGCATTTCATTTTTGCTTTGAGCATTTAAATTCGGGGATTCTGAAGAATGGTGCCATCATTCTTACAAAATATTGAAATTTCCTCTTTCCTCCTATCAGCCTATGAATTAGGATCAAGTTGAACCCTTTTATGTTTTCTTCAACCATTTATTCTGAATGTGATTTTGAAACTGGTGAAGTATGTCACGAACACATAGACGTAGGTTTAGTCAAAATGGCTAGAGCAGTGCACACTATACTTTGCATTCAAGTTTGAATCCTCTTCTCCGTAACTGAGATGAATATTAATGTAAAAATTGTCCCAAGCTATGTTGCACTGATACTTCAAAATTGGATAAGGGTGAGTATCGGATACCCACACTCCCACGATACCCCAACGATACCTTCCGATATGTATCAGATACTCTATTTGGAGTTGCTGACTTTTTGTTGATTTCGGATACTCTGCGGATATGGTCAAGATAGTCCTAAGATATTGATCTAGGAATTTGAATGATTGTAGTTTCTAAATTCTGTTGTTCTTGTGGGTTTAGAGATGGTTGTAGCCCCATACGGTCAAGATAATCATTCCAGTCCTGAGAGAGGCGAGGACCAATCTCAAGATCAAAGACTAAGCAATGTTCTATTTTGTTATGTTTTTTTAGTACGTCGATATTTTTATACTAAGGGAAGGGGAAGTTCAGCTAAGCTACATAGTGGACATATAAATATATTTTAAAAAATTACAATATTTTAATTGCCATATATTTATAGTATTGTATCATTGTTTTTAAGAATTTTACCGTATCTGCGCGTACCATATCATACCAAATCCCCCCGCCCTTATCCGTATCCATGCAACATAGAAACACAGCAATGGTGAGGAATTACCTATTTGAATCCCAGTGGAATTCCTGACCAGTCTGGGAGACATTTTTCGACTTGATAGACATGTTTGCTTGATCAATTTATGTTGCGAAGATTGATATTTCATGTGATTTTATGTGGTAAGTTTCATATGATTGTATCATAGAGCAATTGCTGTACATCATGTTAGAGACATTTCGACTTCCTAGACATGTTTGCTTGTTAATCTCATATGCAGTGGAGCGCCCAATAGCGCTCACCTGAGATAGAGATGGGCTCGGGGTTGGATTAGAACTGAAATTTGCTGTTTTTGGAGAAGAATGAGGAGAGCTCGAAGAAGAAAAAGAAGAAAGGAGTTGGGAGAGGTGGTTGAGTCGTTGTGCCAATTTTTTTTTCTCTATTTTTAAGGAGAGATAATTTAGAAATTTTGTACATTGACATGGGTGTTCAGAAAAATATTAACTGTGAGTGTCCAAAGAACCACTCTAACATTAATAACTTGGGCGTTCAAACACTTTTTATGAATACTGTATATTCGTTGGATAAATTTCATTACGAGAAACGCTCAATTTCTTGATTTTTATTTGAAGATCATTTATGCCAAAAGTAGTTCTAATGGAAGATCGTTTAGTCATCTAATAGTATCAAATAAATGGACATTATTGTCGATTTATTCTATACATTTGAATGCACAAAAGATCTTTGATTTGAATTATATTTTTTTAGAATGATCCTGAATCAAGATCAAGAAATTGAGCATTTGTTATTATGTAATTTGTATGGTAAAATGCATTATTCGAAAGGAGTAGGATATGCGCATTCCACTAGTGAGACTGTCACATTTCGGCCCGAGACGGATCACTTCCCAGGCCCGCTCCACCATCGTAGCACGATATTGTATGCTTTGGGCTTACCATTCCCTCATGGTTTTGTTTTTGGGAACTCACGAGCAACTTCCCAGTGGGTCACCCATCATGGGATTGCTTTAGCCCCCTTCTCGCTTAACTTCGGAGTTCCTACGGAACCCAAAGCCAGTGAGCTCCCAAAAAGCCTCGTGCTAGGTAGAGATGAGAATATATATTTAAGGATCACTCCTCTGGGCGATGTGGGATGTTACAATCCACCCGCCTTAGGGGCCCGACGTCCTCGTCGGCACACACGAGGCCAGGGTTAGGCTCTGATACCAATTGTCACATCCCGGCCCAGGGCAGATCACTTCCCGGGCCCGCTCCACCACCGTAGCACGATATTGTCCACTTTGGGCTTACCATTCCCTCACGGTTTTGTTTTTGGGAACTCACGAGCAACTTCTCAGTGGGTCACCCATCATGGGATTGCTCTAGCCCCCTTCTCGCTTAACTTCGGAGTTCCTACAGAACCCAAAGCCAGTGAGCTCCCAAAAGGCCTCGTGCTAGGTAGGGATGAGAATATACATATAAGGATTACTCTCCTGGATGATATGAGATGTTACAGAGACATTCATGTATTGTCTCCTTGAAAAATGTAATTATGCACTTTATACAAACTTATTTTTTTATTTGTTATAGTTTTATAAATTTGAAGTGCTTCATGATATTTTTAAAGTGATAATAATAATTGTTATAAAGGGAATTGTTATTGGCATTCCAAAAATCTCATTTTACATTCCAAACTTTCTATATTCAGAAAGAAAAATACACTTATGAAAAGTGTAGAATAAGATTTTTAGAATGCAAATAACATTTTCCTTTATAAAAATATAATATTAATAGTGCTATAGAGGGACAATTTGCTAGGGTTTTGAGACATGCAGAAAGAGAGAGAGAGGGCGCCGGACAAACACATGCAAGGCGTGCTGATTAAGAGGAAGCGCGGCGGAAAGAATATATAGTACAAGTACCACAATACCAATATGTCAATAACTACAACTACAACATCATGCGTAGTACCAGTACTAAGTGTTCTTTGTGTGTTTAATTCGAGAACAAACAATATATAATTATTTTCTTAATTTTGATATGTACATATTTAAAAATGAAGTGAAAGAGAAGCACGTGAAGCTGCAGCACAAGCAGCAGCAGCAGTAGCAGCACAGGAGGAAGCAGCACGCTCATGATGGATGGTGATTCTCAAAGTAAATTAAAACCCAAAACAGACTTATATGTTATTGGTATACTATTATAATAGTATCTTGCATTAATAAAATAAAGATGTATAAGTTTTGGTTGTATATTCTTATCTTATTAATATAAAGTATCACAAACAGTATACTCATATTATGTTAGTTGTTTTTTTTAAATCTCAAAATGCTGCGTGCGTGAATGTGTTAGTGTGTTTACGTGTAGTTCGAGGCGTATAGAAGCACTGATCATCACAAGCTTACAATTATTCCGACCCGGGATTTAAATTCTCTCGTATTCTCTTATTGTCCCTTTCTATTCTTTTTTTTCACGCTCTCTATTTTATCTTTCTTATTTTATAAAAAAATTAATATAAAATGTTAACGTGACTTAATTGTGACCATTCAAATAAGAGAGGAGGAAAGATGAAGAAAAAAGAGAGGATAGAGAATCCTATTCCCTCAACTCCATGCCATCACTTACTTTTATTAATTTTTGGACTAGGATTCTCTCCTATCCTCTTTCCATCCCCTTCTCTCATATTCTCTATTTTGTCTTTTTTTTTTTAATAAAAAATTAATATAAGATGTTGAAGTGACTTAAACGTGACCGTTCAAATAGGAGGGGAGGAAAGGGAAGGAAAAAAAAAGAGAGGAGAGAATCCTACTTCTTAATTTTTTAACCTAATGTCAAATCAAGAAAAATGATCCTCGCCCGATCATTTTCCTAGGGATCCGAGGAATTCCACAATCGTGTCCCTTCATCGTACATCGTGTGGTCAGAAATCATTTAAAATTTAAAATTCAAATATAAATAGTACCTAACGAAAACTGATCGTACGATGTACGATGAACGAACACGATTGCGAAATCCCTAAGATCCCTAAGAAAAGGATCCGGATCCTTTTCCAATATCCAGGGTGGTTCCAGTTTACTTTTCTTTCTTAATGATTTTGTGATAGATATATACCCTAGTTGGAAAGTGTGGTCGGTCGATCATGCGACTACACAACAGTGTCCGCATACGGTACCAATGCTATAATGCAAAAATAATGAAGTGAATTCTAACAATATTTACAATCACGCCCTCGTAATAAACGCGTTAATTTACTTGTTATAATTTGAAGTTTTACATGAAAATATACGTCTATTCGCAAAGAGATGTAATCTAAAAAAAAATGGAATTGATTTGTTTATAATGAAGAAATAAATACTTCAATATATGAATCATATATAATGAACGTATAAAAAAGTGCAACCATTGAATAAGGGTTACATTGATCTCTTTAAGGGCGGAGCTAGAAAAGTTATAAATGGATGTGCGAATTTTAATTTTCTGTTTGAGGCAGGCTAATTTTATCAAAGAAGGCTGGACTAGTTTTGAATTAGACAACATTGGCGTTTAAAACTACATGTTTTTTGTTTTCTCAAATTCCAAAATTTACATTAGGGTATAGCTCACCTTATTCGTATTCTCTTTGTAAGGGTTACAACCATTCAATGCATGTTGAAATGTATTATTTGCTTGTTTATAAATAGGTTTGCAGTCAAACGTAATCCTTTCATTCCAATTACATGATTTGAGAGAGTCTATATATGAGAGATTTTTTTGTGTGATCACGGGACTAAAAACAACTGTCATCACAAGAGATCCTACTTGCTTTACAATTATACATAACAAGTTGTATAAATCATGGTTGATTTACGTATATTAGCAAATAAGGTATGATTAATCAGTCGATCAAACGGCTATAACCCGCTTGCATACAATACAAAATTTATATAGTATAGAAAAATCTTAATACTGTATGTGTTTGTGCAAGAGTACATAATACAGACAGACCCAAGCACGGGCACCACCGTCCATGTAAATAGTATAAAGAAAAGTTAGAAGAGGGTTGGAGTAGAATCTAACCGTGAGACAGATAGAAACATACAAACAGGACGGGGCAAGCAAATTAAACCACAACAAAGGAGGGAAAGGAAGTCGACTCTGATCACTGCACAAAACCAAAGGCTCAACATTTCTGACACCAGGATTCCCACACTTGT